GAGGGGACAGCGGGGACCGGGCTGGGCACGGCGGGGCTGAGGGGATAGCGCGGGGTCCAGCGTGTGGCCGCTCTGATCCCGCTGTCCCCTCCCGCAGGCCATCGTGTGGGACGAGTACCTGACCGGCCCCTTCGGGCTCATCGCGCAGTACTCGCTGCTCAAGGTAAGCGCCGCGGGGGTCGGGGRCAGGCGGCCGGGCCCCTGCGCTGCCGCCCTCGGGTCACCGCCGTGCTTCCGCGCAGGAACATGAGGTGGAGAAGATGTTCACGCTCAAGCCAGGCCGGCTACCCCCGGCCGACGTCAAGAACATCATCTTCTTYGTCAGGCCCAAGCTGGAGCTGATGGACATCATCACGGACAATGTGCTCAGGTACCGCGGGCAGGGCGGGGCRGGGCAGGTGGCCGTGAGGAAGGGACAGGTGTGGCCTCAATCACCACCTGATTTGTTACACCTGTGCAGGGAGCGAGGAACGATGTGCACACACCAAACTGCACCACAGCACTCTGGGGCTTGAGGGACTGCAGGACARCCTGGGCAGGGGGGCTTCACCTTGGCTGTGATACACAGGGCGTGCTCCTCGTGTACATTCCTTCTCATTGGAATGAGTTGTGCTTGGATTGCTGTGCTTTTTGGGAACTGCAGGACAGCCATGTCCCCTTGCCCTGGTGTCAGACCTGTGGCTGCACAAGGCTGGACACAGACACACAAAAGCTGCAAGTTGGCAGTAATATTCCAGTGTTCTTGTTTTGTGCTAATCCAGTGCCCCCTGCCCTTGGTCTGTGCTGCTCCCGTGTGCAGTGAGTGATCCTGGGCTGTKCTCCTGCTGTGGCTTTTCCAGGGAAGACAGAGGCCGCTCTCCGCAGAGAGACTTCCACATCCTGTTTGTGCCACGCCGCAGCCTCCTCTGCGAGCAGTGGCTGAAGGAGCAGGGCGTGCTGGGCTCCTTCATCCACCGYGAGCAGTACAGCCTGGACCTGATCCCCTTCGATGGAGATCTGCTCTCCATGGAGTCCGAGAGCGCCTTCAAGGTGAGCACTCCTCTTGTCCTTGAGGAAAAACGCTTTGTGGTTTTGTGCTGGATGTTGGTGTTGGTGCCACAGCTCTCACAGGGTTTGCAGGTGATGTGCACAGCAAGGCAAAACCTTGCAGAGCAAACATGGCTTGATCTTGAGGCCTGAACTTCGTTGTGTGTTTTCACATGAAACACTGAAGGAACAGTCACTACACCAAGCTGCATCCTAGCTTCAGCTGCTGGTTCGTGTTATGGTCACAAATGAAACATTCCCAAGGCTTAAAAAACTTGGTTGTCACAACGAGCCAGCGTGGTTTRTGTGGAAGCAGCTCTGTTGGAYTGACRACTTCCATCAGAATCCCTCTTRTTCTTCAGGAATGTTACCTGGAGAGTGACCAGACCAGTCTGTACCATGCAGCAAAGGGGCTGATGACGCTGCAGGCTCTCTACGGAACCATCCCGCAGATTTTTGGGAAGGGCGACTGTGCTCGGGTGAGACTTAAAAAATGCATCTTGTTCTTTGGGACTGCCTTAAGGAGTGTTTGGTTAAATGCACCTCTGGGGTTTTTTAATTCAGCCATGAAACACACTCATCCTTTTTGCTTCTCTCTGATCAACCTGTGGTTTAATTGGCATCTTTTGTGGTGAGGGAGCAGTTTGAGGTCAGTGCAGTGCTTTGGGTATACTGTCTTGCAGAGCGGCAGAAAGCAGCAGAGAAGGACTTTTGTTTTCTCAGTCTCRTCCTGTCCCATCCATCAGGCAGTCTGTGCTGCTTGCCTGCCATTCCCTTCCTTTACAAGCATTTAGGGCCCAGAGGTCACATCCACCTGCTGTGGCCTGCACCGTAACCAGACCATGTGATTTCCTTCCAGCACGTGGCCAACATGATGATCAGGATGAAGCGTGAGTTCCCTGGGAGCCAGAATTCCATATTTCCTGTTTTTGATACCCTCCTGTTGCTGGACCGCAATGTGGACCTGCTGACGCCGCTGGCCACGCAGCTGACGTACGAGGGACTGATAGATGAGATCTATGGGATTCAGAACAGTGAGTTCTGATGTTTGTGTAGGTCCCTGCCTGAGCACAATGAGACTTCTTAATTAACACGCAGGCACTAAGTGGTTTGAGTGTTTATATTTGCTTTGCTGATCAGAGCTGTTTCCAGCTCAGGGGACATATTTTCACAGCCTGCTAATCTTAACTTCTGGTGATGAGATTCCAGTCCTTATAAGGGTTATTTYTCTGCATTTGGTAGCTTATGTGAAACTCCCTCCTGAGAAGTTTGCTCCGAAGAAGCAGGGTGAGGGTGGGAAAGATCTCCCCACGGAACCCAAGAAGCTCCAGCTGAACTCTGCAGAAGAGCTTTACGCCGAAATCCGAGACAAGAATTTCAACGCTGTGGGCTCAGTGCTGAGCAAGAAAGCCAAGATTATCTCAGCAGCCTTTGAGGTGAGGCCTGTGTCCTGTGGTGCATCCTTTGGGTGGTTCTTGCCATCAGGTAATTCACAGTSTGTTCAGCAGGGCTGGGACTGGCAGCTCAGGCTGCTCCCTCACAGTAATGCCCCATCCAGAGGAAAAATGGGTGGTCTTTAGAAACCCTTCCAGTCTGTTCCCCTGCCCTGGCACTAGGTCAGCCCGACTTGGACTGTTCTGAGTAGGTATTAGTCAAATGTCCTTTTAAGAAGCCTAGTAATGTGCATCATCATTTATCCCACACCTCTGTTCTGGGTCTTTCCCTCTGCTCAGAGCTTGCCTAACCCACCCTTGTGCTGTTTGGAATTGCTCTCCAGTCTGCAGGACAGTCAGGTGCTGCTTCCTTCTGCAAGAAGCTCATTTTTAGTGTGCTGATCAGTTCCACTWGGCTGCTCTTGTTACCTGTTCACTGAAAGGTCCTTTTCCCTTCAGGCTGCAGAGCAAAGACTTTAAGCAATAAACCACCAGAATGTACTTTCACAGACTATTATGGCCAGCATCCAAAACAATACAGAAATGTGAAAAGCAGAGTTGTCTTGCAGGAGGTTTGAACTGTAAATTGGTTTTCATGTGTCACCTTAGACAATCTGGAGAGCTGTGGAGGGAACGTTTGTGGTTTTGTTGAAAACATCCTGTTGATGATTCATGAACTGAGATCCCATATCTCATTTTTTCTGACCTCATGGGGACTCTCAAAAGAACTTSGTTTCATGCTTTGATTGTATTTCCTTGGGGGTGCTTTTTTAGCCCCTTCACCTCTGCCACATCTAAGATGAGRTTGTGGTACCTTAACTGAAATGTTGAGTGCTCAGCCTCATCTCCCAGTGCATGTCTGCTTCTGCACTATTAGTGCAGGAGGTGCTAAAGATGGATTATTCATACTGCTTGTTAAAAAAAGATAATTTTAAGAAATTGTCWGCAATAATAGGTGATAATGAAACAGCAGTACATTGGCAGCAGATGACTTTTAAATTGCAGGCTCTGTCATGACTCTCGTGCCTGCACTTGCCCATTTACATCYGTCACATGAGTCAAATTATTACTGTTTTTATTCCAAGYTKCAGCAAGAGGCATGGCAGACCTCTRGAGCTGAAYTYTGCATGGTGCTTCAGCACATCCYRCCTCAAAACCTGGRACACTGCTGGCACCAAGCAGTGAATGGCACACCCTGCCAGCCCAATTCCTCAGCATCTTTCAGTTCCAAAGGAAGATGTTTCCCAGCTTTGACAGCATTGGTCTAGAGCTCCATGTTAGCCAGCAAAGTAATTCCTTGTGTGAAAAAGGGAGCTTTCCCTGGTACAGGGAGTGCAGTAAAACAGTTCTTCATGATMAAATGATGTAGTTGGTGTTACTAATGTGAGCAAGGCCTAACCCAAGTGATGATTTCTGCAGGAAAGGCACCACGCCAAGACTGTTGGAGAGATTAAGCAGTTTGTGTCCCAGCTGCCTCACATGCAGGCGGCGAGGAGCTCGCTGGCCAACCACACCTCCATCGCAGAGCTCATCAAAGACATCACCAGTGAGTAGAAATAATTTAAATCCAGCAGGATGCCAGGTAACTTGATGGACATCACTCAGTCTGGCAAAACGTGGCTGGCTTTGCTCCATCCAGTGCATCTCTGCTGAAATGTTAAATGTAAAACATAAGCTGTCAGTTGCTGTTGTATTGATTTTCATTCTCTTCCTGAAGCATCTGAAGATTTCTTTGATAATTTAACAGTGGAGCAAGAGTTCATGTCTGGAATAGACACAGACAAGGTAAGTAGATAATGACAACTAGTGCCTCTTATATCTTAAAAAAATGGGTTTTTTCCATTTGGATATTTTGGGGAGAGGAAACATCTGACCTAGATGATGTCCAGTGATGTGCATCTCAGAGTTACCTGTCGGTGCCTGTAGTGTAACTGTGCACAGCTGGGGTGCTTGATGTGGAGCTGACATGCTCTAGGGAGAGCTCAGGTGGAACCAGTACAGATGGTCCTGAGCTGCCTGGAGAGCAGCTGCTCCTCTTTCTTGCCGTTTCGGTGATACAGGCAAAACTAGATCTTTATTTCCAGGTCTTACGAGCACTTTAACAATTCTTTAAATAATTGTGTATGTATTTTATTTGTAGGTTAACAATTACATTGAAGACTGCATAGCTCAAAAACATCCTTTAATCAAGATCTTGCGTCTCGTTTGCYTGCAATCCGTGTGCAACAGTGGGCTGAAGCAGAAGGTTCTGGACCATTACAAAAGAGAGATTCTCCAGGTTAGGCTCTAACCTTTGGATGAATAAATTCCTGAGAAAATCTACATCAAATCCTCAGGTCTACAATTCAGTTCTAGACAGACATATCTTACACTTAAATAATGTGCACAGGGGGAGCACTGGCTTTCTGTCTGGGCTGCTACCTGGGAGGTGCTTGTGTGTGTTACAACGTACAGATACAGAGGTTTATATCACTGCCCTTTTTGCTGTGATGATTTAAACACTAGATTGGTTAAACTCGAAAGAGATCTTAACTATTAACCATAAACATCTTTTTAAAACTAACATCTTTGGTTTTTTTTCTGTTTTAAATACTGGCCATGGGTTATTGCCATGGTATTAAAGGTGATTTTTTCATATTTCAGACTTACGGCTATGAACATATATTGACCTTAAACAATTTGGAAAAGGCTGGACTCCTGAAGCCCCAGACAGGTGGCAGGAATAACTACCCAACAATCAGGAAAACRCTGCGTTTGTGGATGGATGATGTTAATGAACAGGTAAACAGGTGCTTCAACATTAACTACAGCATTACGTGCAGCCAGAAAACCTTTTTTGTTTAACGGTAGTGATTTCCATGGGGCTGTTTTGCAGCACAAGGTAGCACTGACCTGCTGCTCCCTCTCTCTCTCTCTGTGTCCCCCAGAATCCCAATGACATCTCATACGTGTACAGTGGCTACGCCCCGCTGAGCGTGCGCCTGGCCCAGCTGCTGGCCCGGCCGGGCTGGCGCAGCATCGAGGAGGTTTTAAAGATGCTGCCAGGGCCCCATTTTGAGGAGAGGCAGCAGCTACCCACAGGCCTTCAGAAAAAGCGTGAGTTTGGTTTTGTTTTCCTGTGGTTTACAGGGAACTGTGTCTCTCTGAGGGTGGAGTGCAGTGAACTGAAATCAGGGCAGGCAGAGTCCAGGCTTCTGTAAGTCACGTTATGTGAAAGAGGGTCAGCATCACTGCACGTTAAGTCTGGGCAAAGAGAAGCACATCCTGTATAGTGACTTTAGAAGCACATCCTGTATAGTGACTTTAGAGCTGGGAGCAGAGCATGGATTTCTATGTCCCATCCTGCTATTCCACACAATACGATTCTGCTCTAATTCAGGTCATTTGAGTTTGATTGACAGTTGATGCASCAGGGCTGTAAAAATCAAACTCAAGCTAACCTGGAACTCTTTGTGAACCCACAGGTCAGCACGGTGAGAACAGAGTCACCCTGGTGTTCTTCCTGGGAGGTGTCACCTATGCAGAAATCGCCGCGCTGAGATTTCTGTCCCAGATGGAGGATGGAGGCACAGAGTACGTCATTGCCACTACAAAACTGATCAATGGAACAACCTGGATCAAATCCTTGATGGAAAAACTGGAGCCCGCCCCKTTCTAGGGTGTGTGGTGAGAGACTGTCAATGTGAGAGGCCCTGTGTGACACAGGCACGTCAGCTGCTGCTCCTGGCATGGCTGCTCCGGCGGAGGAACACGGCACTGAAGGAAACTCTCCTGAGAGCAGCCTGTGATCCAGTTACCTTCATCCCTTCTGCACTTGTGTTCCAGCTGTCTGTGGAACTTCCAAGTAGACAASCAGGCTTGGAATGCAGTGGGAAACAATGGGAAAGAGAGATCCCTGATCATGGTCTGACCTGGCAGCCAAGCGCTGGGGGAAYGGGCCCTGGTTTTTCTCTTTGGCAAATGGCTGCTTTTTTTTTTCCGTTTAGCTTTGGTGGAAGATGGGATTATTGCTTTTTACCCTCCTAAGGTGCTGAGGAGGATGTTTTCTATTCCTGACTTCATACCAATACTCCCAGACTGTTTGTCTCTCTGTGGTGCCCGATACATTCCATGGATGCAATCTGTACACAGCTACACCTGTAATCCTTAAGCATTTTACTTCACTTGTTCCGTGAAGGGATTGTGGTGAGGGGATTTGTTTGTCCTAGGTACACTCACCTGACTCTGGAAAGCTCCTCCAGAGTCTGAATTACATCAGTGTGTCCTGAGCTTATGGTTGAAGACACACAAACACTCCCTGTGTGGGACTTGGGCCCAAAATAGCAAGARCAGTAAACAGTGGGTTTAAAACAGACACTTTTTTCACCCCCCTGCTCAGGTTATAAACTSTGGTACTTGCTGTCACAAGCTGCTGTAGAGCTCAGACTTGTAAAATGGAATTTTCCATGGCTTGGTGTCTGGGTCCTTGGTGTGCAAGGGGCAGCTGCTGGCTCCAGAGGTGCCACTGGTGAYTTCCACACTGCAGTTCACTCTGAAATGGTTAAAGACAATTAAAAAAAAGCCTGCTCCTCCCCTTAAATCACACTCTTAAATCACTGTCAAACATTTCGGCTTTAGTTATTATGCATATGTCCCAATAAAAGTTTCAGTTTTTCCAAGTTGTCACAGTTGTGACTGTGGGGTTTGATCCATTGTTTTATTTTCTAAGACTGAGTTCTGCCAAGTCAGACCCTCCATGGAGCCCCTCTGTCTGTTTAACTCCAGCTGGCATATTATAATAAAATAAAATATGTATTTAATCTTTTTTTTGGAAGTGTTTACACTCTCTCTCTCTCTGGAATACAAAAATAAACAAAATAAATCCCTGCACTGTGGCAGCTGTATCCTTGTCTCCTTGACCCAGGATAACTGAATAGCTGAATTACTGAAGTTGAAACGTATTTTTCTAACATCCAGGTGGTTTTTAATTAGGGCTCATGCAAAATTTGATTCTGTTCTGCCACYTCACATACTACATCAGAAATATTTGTGGGATTTCTTGACTTTTAAAGAAAAATATTATTTCAGTCAATGGAGACTTTCTATTTCAGGTGGGGAGACAATTTGCAGACAGACTTGACTTAAAAAACCAAAACATGCTGCAAATTCAATGATGCAAGGAGAGCAAACATGGATTGCCTTGCTCTGCAAATAGCTTATTTCAGAGTATTTTAAAAGAAAATTGAATTAGTTTTGGATCAAAAATTACATGTTGCTGTGCAGAGAAGAGCAAGAAACTGACTGCACTCCTTAATGTGTCCTTGGGTTGGCCTTGAGGGTCTTTGCAGTATCACAATTTCCAGATTTTTTTAAATCTTAACAATTGAACTAATCCTAAGGAAATACTGATCACRCTGGTTTGTGAGTTGTGTTGAAAGCTACACCACAGGTGAATAAAGGACAGCCCACAAAGGCTGGGTCACCTTTCCCCTGGCCAGCGAGTCAGTAACACTGGAGGCAAAACTTTTTTGGGTAAGAGCTGACACCAGACCCTTGGTAAACTCTTAATTTACTTGATTCACTGCCTCCTGTTTTTTTTTTGGCACCAGCACTGAGCTAGAACCATGTAGCCACTCCACCTAGACAAAGCCTCTTCCTGGAACTACTCAACAACAGAATAAAAGCCATCCTGACGTTGATCCATTCCCTGGAGGAGCAATTACTATTTAACAGGCTTCCTGAGCAGCTGATCATGTTCTGTTTCTGTCCAAGGCCCTGCTGACCATGCGGGTAATAATTTGATAACAAGAGAACCTAATTAAATTAAGGGACCATTTTCTCCATCATAATATCTTTGTAGGTAAGAGATTTGATTTGCAGTACATAATCTTCCTTCTTTCTSCTGTCTGCATTACTGCAAAAAAAAGAAAAAACATTACCCAACATCTGCCCCAAAAGACTTYCACTTTTCATGCAACATTATCAGAACACAGTTTTGCTAATAAATAAACGCAGTTTTGCTAAAAAATAAACCAGCTCTCTTCCCCATTGCAAAGGAGCTGCAGCACTTACGCTCTAAGAGGTCAGGATGACTCCTTGGAGGGAGTGCAAGGGTGACACTACAGCAGGTACCCAGGGACAGGGCAGGGATTAGGCTGCCTTCTGCCCTCACTGAGTTCTGTAAAAGATTCTGGCTCAGCCTGCACAGTCCCAGCCACAGCTCTGTTAGCATCCTCCTCCCCAAGTGGCTCACAGAGCACAGGGCGCTCGGGAGTGGAGCAAAAGGCACTGCAGTCTTCAAGATAYCAGAATAAAACGTGTAATATGCCACAACCTTTTGTAAGAGGCAAACCCCCTGTCTCAGCAAATGCAGGTTTTGATCTGGTGACTCCAAGCCCTGGCACTGGAACTCTGGAAATGCTGTTGCTGAAAGCCCCCAAGGGAAGGGGAGTGTTGGCTGCTCCCAGCACCACGGCGCTGTCGGATCATAACCGGTGCTGACCACACCTAGAGCTCAGTCCTCGTGTGGGCTGCACACACACCCTCAGCTCCTACTCCCGGATCACAGCGAGATCAGCCTACAGCACAAACCCCCTGCAAGACAGAAATTCAAGGGACAGCCRCAGAACAAAACTAGGGAGAAGCACCAACTTGACGAACTAGAGCCCATCATCTGCCTGGGTAAGCAGTTTATTTCTTTATCAGCATCTTTCTAGATAACCAGAAATCTCGCACAGCCTATGGACAGAAAACTGTAACGCTCTGAACAGCAGAGAAACCATGGCTGGTTCAAAAATGCTGTAACTCCTATACTGTATATATGTGCCTGAGCTTAGAACGGAATGACTGACCTCTTAACAACATGAAAAAGTGAATTCTTTATCACAAGAGCAATTTAAAAAACATCCTAAGCGGCAGGACAGAAATTCAGTTTACTTTAGCTAGCTTTAGGCTGTTCAGAAGAGAAATAATCCTTTAGTTTTTATCCTAAATCTGGTTTTAAACTCCCTTTATGTGTTTGACTAAGAGCATGGATATTTTTGATCATACAAAGTTGCAAACAAAATTTAAAACAATATGCAAATTGAAGAGATAGAATTTTTTAGGTGGGTTTCACAGCTTTAAATCTAAGAAGCCAGCAACTTTAGTGAAAAAGTTCAGATTTTAAATTAAACTAACAAATAAGCAATCATTTCTAAAGCAATGTGTACATATGTAGAGTATAAAATACAGCTAGAAGATGAATTCTAAAGCATCTTATCCCAAGTCTCCCATTTAACGGTTATTTTTAACGAGAGATATAAATATTTGCCTCTGCAAAACTTGTATTTAAGCCTCAGTTTTCGTCATTCTTAAACAAAAGGCTCAGTTTGTGCCAGTACCTCCATTAGATGCAATTATATAATTAAATATTAATGGTGGCTTCCTTGGAGGAATTGACCACTTTGATCAGAACACGCTGTTGGTAATGCACCATCAGCGGCCGCTCTGATCCTGACTCTTCCTGGACACTCAGCCACGGCCCCAGGATAGCAATTCCAGGAGCCAGCCGGACTCTGGAAGGGCCCCCAGCCTCACCCACACGGCCATGCCCACTGCCTGTGGCTGTATTTCCATTTGCTTCCTTCTAAGTCCTGGGAGACTTTGATCAATCCCAAATTTTGTTCCAACACCTTGGCAGGACCCTAAACAGGCCCACACCAGTCACAACAACCTTGCAGGTGGTCACCAACCCTCCTGATCACAGAATATCTCCCCAGGGCAGGGTGGTCTCCCTGCTGTGAAGACTCACCTTGTCCCTCTGCTTCCAGGCCGCGGAGGAGCAGGGAGCAGCCAACCCCAGGGAGCCGGGAGAGCCATGCCGGACTCCTTCGCCATCCACTTCCTCAAGGTGCTCCGGGAGCTGCTGGCCTTCGTGCTGTTCAGCTACACGGTGCTGCTCGGGGCGCTGCTGCTCGCTGGCTGGACCACCTATTTCCTGGTGCTTAAATGAGAGCTCTGCTCCTGCCCCTGCTCCTGCTGCCACGGGCTTTCCAGAGGTGCAGCTCCGCACACGCGATGGATGCCCCTTCCCCCTGCGCCAAACCTGCAAGAGYTCTGTGCTGCTACGGCCTCATCACAGGCTTATTTTCCTATGTAAAAATAATAAAAGTTAAAAGGAAAGGTATCCACGCGCATGCACTTTACAGATCCTTGTGGCTCTCGCAGATTCTTTGTGTCTCCTGGATGTTTTTTTCTGTCCCCTGAACTATTTAAAAGCCTCCCAGCAGTTTTCTCCTGAGATTCCCACTCTGCCGAGCGCAGCACTGGGGACTGCAGGGATGCAACAGCACTCCAACATCACAATAAACAAGTCCTGCCTTGTCCTACTCTGCCTCATTAAGGGTGTGAAGGCAGACATAGAGAAATTACTGTTAATTCTTTTAAGAAGTAAGTCCTGGAAAAAAAGACATTTCAAATTAGTACAAGCTTCCCCTCTCCCTGCAGTTTTACGAGGTACGGGGCACCAACAGCACATCAGCTACAGGGTTGTTACCTGGAGCTCTCAGGAGTGCCAGGCTTTTCAACAAGTGTTTAAAACACGCAGTGAGATGAAGGATGTGCCTGTGATACAGCACTGCCTCAGTACRGTAACCTGCGCTGAGCAACTGAGTCTCTGAGAACAGGAGAGAGAATAGGAATTTTTGCTATAAATAAAAGTAGTAGATTTTATTGATCCAAGGCTGGTTTTTTTTGTGGAATTGCACAGGAAGCCTTTGCTGGAGRAGGTGGAGATTATCACTAGCATGGCACTATCCAAAACCAAAGCAGTATCAGGTACTTTAGAACAAAGAAATGAATTCAACCTGGGGGTGAGGAGCAGCACCCATGGAAGCCGTTCTGTGGTGTCTCAGCTGCAGATCTGCTGCTGCTGAGGGCTGCTCTCTATTGTTTTCATTAAAACAGGCTGGCCTGTTCTGTGGGGTTTTTAGTTTCCTCATTATCTTGGGGGGTTCTGCCCAATGTCTTTGTGGCCCATAAATTCCAAATTCCTTGTGTCCAAATCCTTCCCAAGCTTTGTTAACCTTCCCCAGATCTAAGATCACTGAAACACATCATGCCGCAAACTTTAACAATGCAATTCCATGGCCAAGTAATTTGTTTTTCTAATACCTGAACATCACTTACAGCCTGTCATCTGCTGTTTCATGAACTAAATCTTAYTGTTGAYGAGGCTTGAAAGCTACAAAGATCAAACACCAAAGAACTTAAAGAGAATTTTAAAGAGAATTTTTACACATTCCCCATTTTGCAGCAGTTAAGCAGGACCCTATTTCACAATCCCCTCCTCATTCCCAGCAAATGGGCAAAACGTTGCCTATTTCTGACCCTCACGACATTGGRCATCTCTGAKAAACACAGATGGGGTATCTCCCAAYACAATTTATGCTCCACAGGGCCGTAACTGGAGGAGACTCAGGGATATCGCTCGGAACATTCCCATCCTCAGTCCCTCACACCTCAGGTTCCCGCCAACGCCCTCACGGCCGCGCACGCGCCGTTCCCGCCACCGCCCCTCACGGACCCGGCACGTGACTCGCTCTGCGCACGCGCCGCGCTCGGCCCCGCCCACGCCACGCGGGGCCACACACGCGGTGGGCGCCGTGACGTCACTTCCCGCGCGCCGGGCGGGCCAAGATGGCGGCGGGCGGGCGGCTGCTGCGGTGCTGCTGCTCCGTGCTCAGGTACCGCGGCGGGAGGGGGGAGAAGATGAGGGGGAACTGCCCACACCGCCCTGCCCACAAGCGGGCTGTAGGTTAAAGAGTACACGGCATGAAAGAAGGAARCCCGACCGGTTGTTTTCATTAAATTGCWGTATAACAACAACAACAAMAAAATTCTCATTGCTCTGTGCTTCTGTTTTTCTGCTCGAGTATTTTCGTAATAGACTCTGATCCCAGGGCATTTRCACAGCGTGAGTTGCAAATAAAACTGGCCACAGAGATCCAAGTGTTRCTGGATTGTAACAAACCTGTCACGTTTCTTACCTGCATGTACCACACACCACTTTTAACCTATTTTTCGGTATTACTGGCTATCAGCAGTGTGCTAGTACCAGACAACATACATTTTCTCTCTGAAAGTATTAATAATGCTCTAGTTACCGTACTTGTCTTTTCTCGCACTTAAAATTAAACAATACAGAATTTGAAACAAACTGACACAGCTGTGTCATAAAAGCCTGGTGTAGATAAGTTCACCTTGAGCAGCTTCTGGCTGYTCTCCTCTTTGATCCCTCTTTCCCACCCCACACAGGGGACATTTCTGGTGCTAAACTTTGCCTCTTGCCCTTCCAGGCGCAGCTTCCCAGTCCTGGCCAGTGTCCGGCAGCGAGGCCTCACCAGTGGACGGTGGCACCAGGCYGTGGGGCTGGGGGTGGCCCTGTGCGCTGTCCCCGTCGTGGAGGTATCCCCAGCACACTTTCCTTGCCTCAGTTTTACACCCAAACCCAATTTGGCCTGGTTCTGCATCCTCAGGGAGAACTTGGCAGTGCAGCCTCGCAGCTTTTCCTCCCCTTTGTGTCGGGTTGGTATCTCAGGGAGGGCGGTGGAGAGGGCACTCAGGTGTTCTTGTGTTGCAGCAGCAGAGCTCGGGGTCCCTGAGCAAYGATGCCCTGATCAGAAGAGCCGTGTCCCTGGTGACAGACAGCACAGCCACGCTGCTCTCCCAGACCACCTACGCCCTGATCGAGGCGCTCACCGAGTACACCAAGGTGAGTGGGGGATCACACAGCAGCATGAGTTCTTTTTGGTTGTGTTAAACTGTTGATTTGGGTTTAAAATTTGACAATCCCAGAATGGTTTGGGTTGGAAGGGGTCTTAAACCTCATCCACTCCCATAAGGAGGGACACTGTCCACTGTCCCAGGTTGCTCCAAGCCCCATCCAACCTGGCCTTGAATAAATTCAGGGATGGGGCAGCCACAGCTTCTCTGGGCAGCCTGTGCCAGGGCCTCGCCACTCTCACAGCCAAGAATTTTCCCCTAACATCCCATCTAACCCTGCTSTCTGTCAGTGTGAATCCATTCCCTTGTCCTGCCATTCCATGCTTTTGTAAAAAGTCCCTCTTTTTACTTAAGGCAAAATGACCCCACAACTGAGAACTGAAGCTGAAGAATTTAGTAAGTTATTTATATTACCTGTGTGTTGAGTTCTCTGCTCTTGGGTATTTTATTCCCCTTCTCTGCCTTTCTAAGGCCATGAACTSAGTTGSATCAGAAGAAYGGAGTGAGCCATATTTAAGTCTGAAACAASAAGACAGAGTTTTAATTTTACAAATAAAGTGCCAATTTGAGTAAAGCATTTGCATTCCAGTTTACATCCTTGTCAGCACATCAAGTATGAAGGGTAATTTTGCTAATTAACACCAGGTAACACTGAGACAATGCCAGAGCTGTGCAGGTTGTCATGGTAACTGTGCAGAATGATTCCTTCTATATAAACTATTCCTTCCTGTAAACAGGCAGTTTATACCCTGGTGTCTCTCTACAAGCAATACTCCAACCTCCTGGGGAAAATGAACTCAGAAGAGGTTGATGCAGTCTGGCAGGTGGTCATAGGAGCCAGAGTGGATGTAAGCAAACAAATCCATCTGCCTCTCAAAGCCTGCTCACACCACAGCTCAGGAGAGCTCTGGGGTGTGTCACTCCTGGTTAACWCTTTGTCCTGCTCCTAGATGACCACCAAGCAGCAGGAATACCTCAAGCTGGAATCCAGCTGGATGACGGCGCTGCGGCTCTCGGAGATGGCGGCAGAGGCCGCGTATCAGTCTGGTGAGCACGAGCAGCAGCTCTCTGCCCCTTTTTTATAGACACAGAATGTACATTCAGTTAACATCACARCTGACTGCTGGTGCCCGTTTTTTAGAGGTGTTGAGAACTTAAATTCCTTTTTTGGCTAAAAGTCTGTAGGTGTGTTCTGAGAATTAGGCCTGGAAACTTCACATGTGGTTTAGGTCAAGACCAACCACGGCCAAAAATACTCAGTCATTTTTAAATGCAGGGCTCAAAAATGATTCTGGGCGCCATAGAAATAAGGCTGTCTGGGGGGGGTGTAGATTCAGTTATATTTAAAAAGAAAAGGTACTAATTTTGGTCTTTTCTCCCTGGAGAAAAGCTCTGAGGCTGAATAATGAACTTGTTTATGGTAAATGGGTAAAGTTACTGGAGTGAAGAAGGGAGGGAAAGCATACAGAGACCCCTAACTCTATAAGTTCCTGGAAAAGACCAGTGGTTTGAGGAAAATGAACAGTAAATACATTGAAAATTAACACAGCCCAAGAGCCATCAAACCCCAGCAAAGCAGGTGCTGATCCCAGCCCTTTCCTTACCTGTGCTCCTCTAACCCAGAGTGTCAACCCCTCCCTCAGGTGCAGACCAGGCCTCGGTGACAGCCCGCAGCCACATCCAGCTGGTCAAGTCCCAGGTGCAGGAGGTACGGCTGCTGTCCCAGAAAGCAGAGACCAAATTAGCTGAAACTCAGACAGAAGAACTCATCAAAGCCCAAGGAGAGGACTCTACATCACCACAGGGTGTTCTGGGAAATACAGATGCAGGTGATGACCCTTACCTTCGGGAGGACTGAACTGAACTGAAGACTGAGGGTCARTCACAAATTAGTGTAAAACTGCTGAAATAAGTCTGTGATTCCATTTTTTCCCCCAGAATGGATTGCTTTACAAATCAAGTATTTGGAAGGCCTCAATTTTGTTTGTAACTTACCTTGTTTGTAATATTTTTGGATTCATTTATTTGTTTATCTATGCAAATGTGAAGACTGTTATCAGGGATGGCCTGGTGTTAATTGTGTCTCTGCTGCTCCTTTGGTGTGTTTGTGGGAGCTCATTAGGGATCAGCCAAAGAAGTATATTTAAAGATCCTTGTTTTTAACCTGTAAATGATGCCTGTGAGGAGATGCCTGTATTAAACTGTGCAAAAGYAGCTTTTTGTGGGAGTGTCCATTTGGGGAAGAGATTAAGCCRTGCTTTCTATTTGAATTTACAAGTTTTTAACCTGAGTTGGCAGCTGCACCWAATGACACTGAGCTGCAATTGGGGAAATGTTTGTTCTAGAGCTGAGAATATCCCATGGAGTCACCCAGGCTCTTGGTGCAGTTTTGTTCAGCACAGCAACTTCACCCAGAGTCRTCTCTGGGGGAGGTTCCTCAGGAAGCAAAGAGGAGGTTTGATTTTTAAGATACCGTGGTTATAAACAAAATTGTTGTGGCAGCTGCTGTGTACTGTTCTACAAAGCAGCGAGGGAAAGAGTTTTACATATTTGAATGCTTTCCAGTGCAAGTTTGAGGAAATAAATTATTTCTTTTGCAAGCCTAATGTTTCACTGCAGGTTTCAAAACCACAGGTGTCTTTCACTCTGTTGACTTCCTAACTTGACAGCTGGTGTGAAATTTGCTTTGTAGAACAGCATCCCCTRGAACTTTATCACTCGTGATTGGAAGCAGTTAATCCCCATCTGCCAGGTTGTGTGGGAAAACACCCATTAATCAAAGATTTTTCAGTACAAATCAGCATCTGATGCTCTGCATCTGTGTCAAGGTTGCTGTTACTAAATTGAGTTGTGCCCGATGAGGAATTTTCTTACCTGCAGCATAAATTGTGTCTCATTTGGGCTGCCTTTGGAACAAATGCAATCTCAGTGCATGGCACCATTCATTTATAGATTAAGTAGTAAAAAAACAAAAAAATGAGTAAACCATCCTTCCATGCTCCTCACTGGGTGCTGCTGTATCCAAGGAGGGTGGTGCAGTCTGGAATTCAGCTCTCAGGGAGCTGCCTGTGTCTGCTATGCCAAGCACAGCTCTGGGCTGCAGCATTAGGGAAAAAACCACCATGATGAGAGGATTATTGAGTGGTGGCACAGCCAAACCCTCAGGAGCCAAATGCACCCTCAGGTCACCTCTAACCACAGCTGCTCTCATTTGGTACCTTGTGAGGTTGAAGAACATCTGCCAAGCCCTGAGCTGAGCACACAAACAAGTTGTGTACCTTTCAGGATGCCACAATARCTCTACTCAGATGTTTGCATGGCACTGCCAGGAGCCTGCAAAGCCACCAAAAAGTCCCTCTTCCCCTTTCAGGACCTGCTGTGATCCCACTTCTTGTTTCACTGCACGTCCTGTGCTTCCTTCCCAAGATCTGTTCGACACGCATCCAGCCTGAGGTGACTGGAACCAGCCAGTCAGTCCAGTCAGGTCAAAATGGGGTGAGGAGCATGGATGGCTCCACATCACCTCCAAAACGGGGCAGAAGGGAGTCCCTCACCTTKGTCAGGAAGTGAGAGCTGCCAGTTGGGGATTAGCCCATACACCTCAGCCCACAACAGACATGACATCATGCTCTGTGCTCCCGAGTTTGCTCTGGGAATCACCGAGTGGATCACAGAAATGCTGGCACAGCAGCTCACAGGGCACCACGGTGCTGGCTCTGTCCATTCTCCTCTCCAGGACCAGCAGCAGTGCCCAGAACCTGGGGTTTGCTGCTGACACTCGGCCTTGTTTACAAAGCCAACACAGCTCAAACTACACACAGGCARTTTCTCAGCTACAGTTATTTAATCCGTGGAGCTGCAGCAAAGACACAGCAGCAGCTTGCACAAGATCACACTGAGGATGGACACCCACCAATTGTTTGAGACAAACCCCTACTCACACCTCACACTGAAACAGCTCACATGAGGTGGCACCTTCTGCCCAAGAGCCTGGGGCTCAGTCAGAGCTATCCTGGGTGCTCCAGAGGGCTGAGGATGCAAATCCTGGCAGCAGCCCCTCTGAGAGCTCCTCCTCTCTGCTCTCGGGGTGTCCCTGTCTATAGGACAAGCAAGAACCTCGTGGCAGCACTTCCTGGGCACCTCTGAAAGCTCCAGCTCCCATCTGGTGGGGGATGGATGTGGGGCAGCTGGCACTGGAGACAGCAAATACAGCAGCACAGCACAAAGGGTCTGGTTTCTCTAATCACACACTTCTCTTTACTCATTCTTTTTTTCCTAAGGCTTCCAGGCTGCTTCCTGCTCACCCACAGCAGCTTCTGCTCTAGCAGCAGGACACCCTGACACTGATAAGCTTCACATAAGTACCACCAAAGCTTAGTTCTTATTTGATCTTTTCTCAAATTAGCAACTCCAGCACGTTCAGATTAATCACTTCTGTGTCAATGCATCTTTTCCAGACAGGGCAGAGAACAGCAGCTGCTCACAGAAAAGGAAGTGGCAAATATCCATTTCCATATAACATTATCCTCTTTAGTGCAAATACCCAGCACCAGATCTCAACCTTTCTTGGCTTTCAGGGCTCTTAGTTTTCARGAGACCTAAGAATATTCCCATGAAAATACTTTTCAAAACTATTTTATTTATACTCCACATTACAACAACAATGAGAAACCAAGCACCTCCCACACGACATAGGAAGCTACAGCCAGTCTTCCTATCACAGTAATTCAAGATATATTGCTCCTCTCAAACCAGATCAGAAAGTGTTTGTGCAAAAGTTTCCAGTGCATGTAAACCAGTAATGAGCTTCTGTAAAAGCCAAAGGGCTTGAGGCAGAGCCCAGTCCTTCAGATCATTATCACTGCTGTGTTAAGGCCATGTATTTTTTAAGCTTTTTCTTCCCCACTCCACTTCCTTTCTCCTGCTGTCTGATAGGAGCTGTGGGGTTGCTGCCCTGGCACAGCAGACCCAGCAGGACATACTGGCTTTTSTTCCACCCCTTCAAGTAAATTTCAAATGCTCTGTCACTCGTTAGTCATCACTGGCTGCCCCACATGAGGCTGACTTTGGCAGTCTGACACCAGTGCAGGGGCACTTGTGACTCCCCCTGGCTGCAGTGTGGCCGGGAGGAGCCGGGTCCCCTGTGCCGTGTGTCACACAGCCACYGGCCACACCCCGTGACAATTCAACCCATTCAAGCAACCCCGACAGAAAAAGACTCACTGCAAACCAAACCGCGACGGCTCCAGCGCGCTCTGTTAGTAACAGACATCTCTACCACGACCTGATTTTTAGTTTGAACACCCTGGCACMGGCCACAACCCCGCTGGGCTCATCAGTAGCTCCTTTTCCAGCCCCTCCTGTAGCTGTGTGTCACCGACACCGCACACCTAATGCTGTCATCCTTCACCAGCGTCCACATGATCCACAACTCGGTCGGGTTCAGTCTGTGCACAACCATCAGCTCTTTGTACAAGCAYGGATCAAAAGGATTGAAAGGTCTCTGGATCCCGAAAGTCTTAAAGCCAGCGTGGTTCTTCGGGGTCACTGACATCTTTGCCAGACACATTCCCACAAAYACGTCATCTATGGGGAAGAGCTCCATGTCCTCTGCGGTGCTCTGAAGGCGGCGTACTGTCCGCCTGGACATCACATAGCCTCCTCCTCCTGCATAGAGAGGATAGAAGGTGGCTCCATACATGGGCTCTGGAATGAAGTATTTGACCTTGGTGTTCCTGATGGGCCGGGCRTTGGCAATCACATCCCCAACAAAGAGATCCTGTTCAGGGTCCAGCTCCCGGAGGAACTCAACGATGTTGTAAGTGTTGACAAACACATCGTCATCGCCCTTCAGCACGAACCTGGCGTGCAGGCACTCCTCTGTGAACCAGCGGAGGAAATGCAGCTCCTTGAGGGTCAGGTTGAAGAAATTGTCCACAAAATCCCACTGCAAGATGTCATCGAACTCCTGGCTTTCATAAGCCAGCAGCTGCTGCAGGGGCTGCACCTGGATTTTGGCGTCGGAGCGGCCGAGGAGGAACACGAGCCTGATGCGCCTGCCCSCGATGGACGCCTCCTTCCCCCAGGTGTTCCTGATGGCCACTCGCCGGTCCACGTTGATGGGRGAGGACTTGATGGCCAGCAGGAGGAACATCTCTTGGCTACACCTGGAAGGCCTGAGCAGGACCGAGAAGTTCCTGCAGTGCTTGTAGGTTAAGAACACGCGGTGAGGCTCCGGGAGGGCGGCAGAGGAATTGGCAAAGGTGAAGTTGGGCGAACACTTGCTGCGCTCGGCGCTGTCCAGAACCGGAGGCTGGAGCCTGTCMTCTGCTACATTCACTTTCTGTTCAGCCGGCGATGCTGCCAGCTTCTCCTCTTTCTTCATGTAAAACACCCAGGCCAGCAGCGTGATGGAGAAGGTGTAAATCAAGAGGTTTTTAATCCTGGGATACATGGCAGTCTCCAGCGCAGGACGGGTCCGGGCAGGCAGATGRAGATGTGCCGGTCCCTCCCACGCGGGGCAGGGACGTGTCTCGGCGCTTCCCCTTCGGTGCTGCCGGCGAGCACGGTCCGGAGCCCCCGGCCCCGCCGGGGCGAGCAGACCGGGCTGGAGCCGCCGCTCCACGGTGATCCCGCACAGCAAAACCCCCGCTCCGCCGTGCGGAGGAGCCGCCTCCCGATTTACCGGGAGCTGCCGCCGTCCCCGCCCCGCCCCGCAGCTCCCGTGCCCCGCCCGCCKGCAGAGGATGCGAAGGGCTGGCACCGGGGCAGCGTGTCCATCGGGGCACGGCACATCCACCCTACAGCCCGTGCCCGCTGGATTTCCTCCGCCAGACCACCCCGGGACATCTCCCAGCGCTGGCGATTCGGCTAAACCAGGCTCCACGCAGCGTTCCCGTGCCTTTTATTTCCTACTCACGGTTCTGCTACGGGCATTTGATTTCCCCACTGTTATGGTCTCGTCCCCCTGGCTCTGGGTATTGTCCGCCAAGGGCCACCGAAGCAGCTGGATCTGGAATTGAACCGTCAGCGGCACCGGCACTTGACTTTCCTCCACTTCAGCTGAGCTCTTTTTTTTGGCTTTTCCTGTGGAAAGAAGCACATTTATCACTGTCTTTGAGAGGGTAAATCATCCTAAAAGCAGCAGTGTGCAGGGGGACWGCCCACAGTGTCAGCACTGACTGCTGGGCCTCGAGGGAAATCTATTTGAATATGATTTTGGGTAAGAAGCACAAGGAGCATCTTTAGGCTGGCAATTAACCCAGGTGTAACCTCACTTTTTGGTGTAAAACTGCTGTAGGACCAAAAAAAAAAAAAAAAAAAAAAAAAAAAAAAAAAAAAAAAAAAAAAAAAAAAGATGCAAAAATAGATTATTTCAAGGATGCTGAAAAATCAAGTGTGGGGTAAAATGAGACCTACGTGAGACTACTTCTGAAGACATCCTTCAATGTCTGGGCAAACGGTTCACTTGTGACAAAGCCCGCTGCCTTTCCTCTTTGAGCCGTCTGGAAGTGATCCCAATTCCTCTGAGAAGACTTATTATTTGTGTGCATTTGCTGACTGAGGGATGCAAATCAGCCTCAGCTCCCGGCTGTGAGAGTGCYGGTCCCTGCACAGCCTTGCTGGACACACGGCTGGGAGCTGTCCCCTGTCCCCCAGGGCATGGCCACTGTCACAGCTTCAAGGAGGTGCTTGGTCCCCAGGTGATGAGCCCAAACGGCCCTGGTACGCCTGGCAGCTCACAGGGCAGGCAGGATGTGCAGACACTGCACTCAGCAGGGCTCCAGCACCCCCCCAAACCACAATTGGGGTGTTCTTGGGGTGAGTCACAGCTATGGGACACGGGGTGTAGCAAGCTGTGGGGGCAGCTGGTTTTTATGCACTGCAAACTTTGCAGTTGTGCTTTGAAATCCGTGCTCAGCGGCCTCATGGCCCCCACCTGCACAGGCACACGGGGACACCACATTAAACATGAGTCTCTCGTTGCTCTGGGTTTCCTGCAACATCAGCAGCATTTCTGTGCCACCACAGCATCTCGTTCAACCTCTCACATGCACTGACCACGCACCAGGGTGGGAAGGAAGGAAGGAAGGAACAACCACTGCTGAATCTGAGCTCTTTGACAGCAGCTGCCTGCTTCAGGCTGAGCATGGATTGCAAATACACCTCTGCTCGTGGGAGACAGAAACTCAGGGAGTTTTCTTCTTTTCAGGCTTCAGGCTTCCTTGAATGCAGACACAGCCCAGGACTGCAGAGCTCTGAGAGCCTCCCCAAAGATGGGGACCTGGCTGTGGGTGATGGGGTGCAAGAAAGCAGCCTGGAGCTCTTGGGAAAGGAGSTTAATTGCACTCTTAAATCTGATGCCAGAGCAGGGAAACAAGGCTCCTTTGGTGTCTCCAGTGCTGGGAGGTTTGGCCCTCTCCATGCCCACCCTGACCCATGAGCAGCTTTTCAGGGCTGCCTGGCCACTCCTTCCCTCTCCCACTTCCTCCTGCTCTTGTATTACCCCTCTGATGTGCTGGCACAGCTATTTTTGCAGTCAAAAACAAGACTGCTGGAAAAATAACCTGCAGTAGGCAGGCTGAGGTTGGTCTGGCAGATTAAACAACTGCTGGCTGAGCAGCCCTGAGCTCTGCACTGTGAAGGCAGGGGACACACACGTGGGTGACAGCAGACTGGGATCCCTTCCCAACCCTGCCATGGGCTGGCTGGGGCACCTGGGGCTCTCTGTGCATCTCATCTCCAAACAGAGAGAATAATAATTCTGTCTGCAAAGCGGTTGAGATGCGAGTTGGCAATGGATGAGGAGCTCATTATGCATCCCAGGCAGCCCTCCCCCAGCTGCCCGCCCACGCCACCGCCCACATTTGGCAGCCGACACACTGGGCAGCACTTTTCTCACCCAGACTCTGCTTTGCCCTTCTCCCCTGGCACAGGGTGCTGTAGGTGTGTGTCTCCCAGCACAGCCCACCCTCGGTGCTGGTGCAGACACCGGTTTTGAGTCCTGGCTGTGTCTGCCCTGAGAGCCCCACAGTCAATGTGTGCATTCACAGCTCAGGATGTGAGTAAGTCCCTGCTCCTGGAGCTGGCAGGGTGGCTGGGCCCTGCTCCTGTTTGCTCTCTCACACACACAACCACCCTGTGCCCCGCCAGCTCCAGCCTCTGTCACCTCTGGGAGACGCCGTGGTTTTCCGGCTGGCCTGACTTCCTTTCTCTGCTTTGGGTTTTTTGCTCTTCTCTTTGCCTTTTTTCACCTCCTGTGGAAAGAGATGTTTCCACACTGAGGCTGTGTTGAAACTCAGTGTCCTCATTCAGTCCTGTGACAGCTGTCACCATCTGGGTGCTGTCACYRGGATTTTAGGGGCAGAGGARAGAGTGGCTGCTCAGAGAACAGAATCCAGCAAACAGAAAGTGTTGATACAGCTCTCAGCTGCCCTGCTGAGACAGAGCACCAGAGGAAGCACRAGCAACTGCTTTCACATTCTCAAATGGAAAAATAAACTCATTTTTTTCCTAGGCCCAAAAAAAGTAGCAGCACTGCTTGCTAATACTGGCCTTAAATAACCACAGCAGCAGTGATGCATGGTGGTCAGGCAGGGCTATTTCTGCCTCATTTTGGGGAGAGGAGAACTGAGAGATGCATGCATGGATGGATGCCCAGGCCAGCGWGGGCATTTGCTGAACCCCAGCATTTGCTGAACCCCTGGGACATGCTCCTTACCTTCTCTTCCTTCTCCTCCTTCTCCTCCAGCGCTGGTGGTTCTGGTGGTTTCTCGGGGATCAGGATCCCAAAGTCACACACAGCTGTCACCGTGTCCTCAGTGGCCAGCAGGGTCTCCAAGGCGACCCTCCTGGTGCCCAGGATGTTCCGAATGGGAGGATCACGGCGAACGTTCAGAAYGGGAGGATCACCACGGAAATCACCAGAATCCCGCTGCTGCCTCCTCCTGTTTTTCTGCTTGTCCTTGGATGCAGGSACAGACCTCTGCAGAGGGTTGGGGTCCCTTTAGCAGAGAGAAGAAAYCCCAACCCAGCCCCTTGAAAGAAACCCGAACCCCACCACTGAAGCCAAGCCAAAGTGTGTATTCCCCCATAGAAAGGGGGGATTTTAGGAGAGGTCTGGGATGGAGGGGTGACYCTGACACATCAAACTGATCCAGGAGAAGGGTCCTGCTTCTCCCATTAATATACTCAGGTAAAATTTGGTCATTTTTTTCTCCTAGCACCCTACCTTGGCACCRTTCTTCTTCAGCTCCTGTCCTTCCTTCTTTTTTGTGGCAGCGTTTTCTTCTGCATCAGCATCCAAGGGCCATGAGAGCACCTGCCCGGGGAGAGGAGCTGGCCCACGTCACTGCCATCCCAGTGGGAACACGATGCCWCTGCTGGGCCTCCCAGCAGCTCTTCCCCCTTTAAATCCAGCTCTGCCACGCCCTCACCTTCTCCTCCACAACAGAAACAACTGTTCCAGCCTCCAGGCAGGACTTCAGTCCCACCAAATCCTTGACAATGTATTCYTTCTGGTAGCTCCAGTCGATGGTGGGTGCCCAGGGCTGTTCAGGGGTGGCAAGCACCTTTRCTGTGTAGATACACACAAAACTCAGAGAAAACCTCTCTTTCCCCAGGACAGAAGGACTCCCAGGGCACAGCTGGAACCCGGTCATCCTGCATCAGTCCCAGCTGACACTGAGAGGGACATCCTGATGATGCCACCACATCCCAGGAAGAGCTATAAACCTGCCCTGAGAGACAGGACAGAGGATCTAGAATTCTTCATTACCAGAGTGTGCCTTGGGCTCCTCTGTGGCTGYGGGCTCCTGATGGTTCCTTATTTCTCCTGTGTCCTGAGCAGAACTGTCCACATCCAGCATGGCCACTGGGGGACTCTGGTAGACTTCTGTTACCTGGAAAAGAGGGAGGTCTGGTTGTGTTTCTGAGGCACAGCTGTCTCCAAAACCCTATTCCCCAGCCCACCCTCATGAGAAGAAGGGGAATCAGTGCCAGGGAAAGGGTCTGCCACAATCAGCAGGAGGAGGGCTGTGAGTGCATTCCCATGTGCAGAGCTCTGGGCTCCCCAGGGGGATGTGGAATGTGGGCAGCTGGGGCTTGTCCTGCTGGATGCAGCCACATGGGAATCCTGTCCCCAGCACTGCCCAGATCCATCACCCCACAGCCTGGAGATGCAGATCTCCCTGCTGTGGCTGTTTCCAGGAGCACAATCAAGCACCAACCTCAGGGCTGCCCCCGTTCTTGAGCTCCTCTGCCTCCACAAACTCATAGGTCACGTAGTAGCTGAAGGTGATCTCCGGACCCTCAGAGTCAACCTCCTGCTGCTGAAAAGCTTTGGGATCAGGGAGTCCCTTCATCTCCCCAATGCTCACAACCACTCGTGCTTCACTCATCAGCTCTGAAAGGGAGACAATCTTGCCATGAAGCTGCACAGCACAGAGCGAGGAAGGAACAGAGCAAGCAGAATCCTCCAGATCCCGTGTCACACCCTCTGGCATCCCTCGGTGCAAACGCTGTGACAAACCACTGCCACGTGGGGTCACTCCAAAGCCACACAAACACWCCCTRGCTKGGCTGCTCTACCTCTCTGGTTAACATTTGCATCTCCAAAAAGCACATCGAGCACATAAACTCATTGAGACCATCCCAGCTGTCCACAGCCTCCTGCTCTCATCCCAGTTAGGGATGTGCCAGAGAGGTGACACCGCTGTGTGCAGACACTTCCCCAGTRCAGATGTTCCTCTTGTCACAGCTCGAGAGGGAAACGTGGTCTGAAAMCAGGGGGTGTCTGGGCAGCAAAGCTGAGGCTGGGACTGGGATGGGCYGTTCTTGGGCCTGACCAAGGCTAAAACTATCTCGACTGTAATKACAGAGCTCAACCACAATGCAAAACCCCCTCCTGAACCACAGGTCAGCACAGGCAGGCTCAGAGGACGGGCTCACCTGGCTGATTTGCCAAACCRTGGAAGCGCAGCCTCTCGTCAGGCCATATCTGGATGCCATCGAGGTAGGACAGCTTGGGCAGGCTGTCCACAAGGAAGCCTCTGTAAGCAGGGAGGAGAGCCAGTGGGTTCCCCTGGAGCACCAGGATGCGGAGTTTTGGCAGAGTGGATAGYTGGGACACCAGCTCCAGCAGATCTGTCAGGCTGTTAAAGCTCAGGTCAAGGGAGATGAGGTTTGGCCTAAGGAGAAAACCCAAGGAAGAGGGTAAGGCAGCAGCAACCCATGTGAGGACAGAGAGCTACTGTCCTGGGGCAAAAACAGAAACAAAAATCATGTTTCCCCAGTGCAAATTGGGTCAAGCTGAGGAATCCAATCTCAATCCCAGTTCCAAATTCCTGAGCCATACAGTCCATTGCCAGTCCGCCCCACAACAAAAAACATCTCCTTAGCATCCACTGATGACCCCACTGTGCCATTTGATGACAAAGTCTATGCTTCAGATCCTTCCAGACTTCCAGCAGGGGCTTTAGGAAGGACATGGAAAAATGAGGCTGCCCAGGGAAAAGGGAACTGTGGTAGACAGGGGTTCAAGGCAGTTCCTTGGTGATTTCCCCATTCCACACCTTGCCAAGGACCAAGGCAGTGTCTGAGCATGAGACAGAAGACAGCAGAGACAGACTGCTCTGCACAGAGAGTGGGTACAGAGCAAAGAAACAACCCTTCTGAAGGCTGTAATTTCCCAAAAAGGGCCACCTCGATGGYTTGAGGTTCCCATCTGCCCATTTCCCTTTCAGCCTGCAGAATTACCAGAAATCCACAGTGAGGTGCTTTTCCTGGGAAGGGCCACACAGCCGGTTGTACCCCAGTCCCAGGTGCTGGAGCCCTGGGGGTGGCTGCACACACAGGTCCTGCAGATCACCCAAAGCATTGCAGCTGAGTACCAGAACCTGCCCAGGACAGAGGGAACAGCAAAAACCTCTGCAATGAGCTGTTCCTGGCATCCCCTCGAGCTGTTTGGCCTGCAGGGTGTTCCCAGATGGGAATTCCTGCCCCTTCTCACACCTGCTCACTCACCTTCAAAGTCCGAGGCAGGTGGGCTGAGCTTACTCTGCTGATGCAGTTGGCACTCAGGAAAAGCTCCTCCAGCTGCTGAAACCTCAGCAGACCCTCATCCACCTCTTCCACCTGCAAAGAGCCGGGTTTGGCCAACGTGTCCCTGAGGAACCTTGTGGCCAGAGTGATGTGGACACGCGTTGATCCACGTGACATTCATGTCACACAAATTGGCACAGCAACCTGGGGAGGCTGCAGGGAGCTACTCCAGCTGCAGCACCCAGGAAGACCCTGGGATGGGGAAGGTGTCCTTTTCCCAGGAAATTCTCCCTCCCAGCAGGAAGACACGTTTTTTTGGCCCACAGCTTTATGGGCACCAGCAGCTGCACTTACTCCCTTGTCAACCAGCTGCAGGGTCTTGAGAACCTGGAACACTCTGGAGCCGTGGAGGAGCTCAGGTGCCAGCACGGCCACTTCCCGCAGGAGCCGGTCCTGGGGGCTGCAGTCGGGGGGCAGTGCCCAGGGGCTGTGCCCATCTCTCAGCAGATCCAGCCGTGCCTCAGGGCTCTCCTCTCCCAGCAGCACAGCCTCCTCCAGCCCCGCTGGCTCTGCCCGGGGGCTCCTGCGGGCATCGTGGCGGGATTTGTTCTGCAGAGAGGGAGAGAGGAGAGGCAGTGGCAGCCTCATGCCACGTCCCACAGCTGTGCCCCCCGAACCCCTACCCAGCTGCCGAGGCTGCAGGGGAARTCCTGCAGTGCCAGGTACCGCAGGTACTCCTGAAAAGCAGCCGAGAAGGTGCCGGGTGCTGCCATCAGCCTGGCCTGGCAGGGAATCCCCTGGCAYAGTGGCCTGTGTCCCTGTCGCTAGGAGATGGTGCTGACGTGGATACCATGGAACCAAACTCTACCAGCAGAGCATGGAGCAAGTCTGGGACAGCACTCGGGAATAAATTCCTGGTTTTCTGGATCTTCCCCAGGTTCTGGTGGCTGGTCCACACCAAGGAAAGAGCAGGATTGCCTCATGCAGCACTTGCAGGGTGCWGTATCAGCATTCTTTCCTGGCTGGGGACCTGTGGCATGGAATTTGCCATTTCCCTTATCTCTGTCCTGAGTGTCACCCGGGTTTCAGGGAGGAAGCACTCAGGGTCTCAGTCAGCTCTGAAAGCCCAGCTYTCCACTTTACATGGAAGGCACTGCCACACAACCATGTGAGGCCAACAGAAAACAAGCTCACAGCTGAAAATACCATCCATTTACCATGCTTGGAAAGAGCAGGTGAACTCCACGAACAACTCTCAGGTCACAGTCAGGTCTCTACAAGCAGAGATTCATTTCCTTTTTCCAGAGATAGGTATTGAGGCAATGGCTACAAATTCCACTTTAGAAAGCTGACTGAGCAGCGTGTGTCAGCAGAACTTCACCAAATGAATTGCAGTTGCTCTGTGGTGTCTGATGGTTACGTGGTGGAAAGCTGAAYTTCTCAGGTTGGGTTTTACGGGACGGATGCTGACCTGCTCCCTTATCAGCTCAGCATCTTATCACAGCCCTGGAAAGGATGTGCAGAGCATGCACAGGCTATGAGATAATGGCATGTCCTGGAGTGGAATAACCAGGTAAACTGCTGCCCTCAGGAGAAAATGAAGTAAAATCTTGTGAAAGTCTTTGAAAGAGCGTTAGCAGTGGTTGAACCGTGTTTTGTGAAAAAGCAAAGCTGTAAAAAGCATGATTATTTTATTTGCATCACTATTTAAAATACCTGGACCTCACTGCCTTCAGGGCTGCACAAAGAGGTATTCCTACTCTGAGGAAGAGCAGATCCCAGTCCTTCCTGGCTGTGCCCATCTGGGAGATCTGGAAGGGGACTGGCAGTGCCCAATGCCATCTTCTATGAACAAACTCATGCACCTTCCACACATCTCCAGTCAGCCACTGCATCTCTGCAGGTTTGGTGTTTCCAAACATGAAACCCCCAAGATTATCCTTCTGTCTGAAAGGAGCCATCTGTACCCACCACTGCTTTTGTTCCTAAAGAATGCCATGCACAAAGAAACATTTCTCTTTCTCTCTGTCTCCGTTTTCCCCCAAATAATGACGTGCAAGAAGAAAACCTTCCCAGCAGGATAGCTGCTTCCCTGCTTGGCTCCCTCACAGCCYGTGACAGAACCACCTTCACTTTGGGAAGCTCTGTTACTGTGGCTTCAAGGCCTGAAGTTACAGGCTGGTGGGAGCCCARTGCAGCAGCTCACAGGGAAAACATCCATTCCCATTGTCAAGGCTCAGSCATCGGTTCAGTCCTGAGAACAATCCTTGAACCAGTTCTAGAAGAGTCCATTCACACACCAAGTTTTTTCTTTTCAGAGATGACTATTTCMCATTGAAGTCAGAACTGAGTATTTTGACACCAAGGTGTTAAAGGTTTCCTGGTGACTTGACACACACTCATCTTTGAGCAAGGACTGCCTTCCAGTAACTGCAGAGGTGGGAAGTAAAAGTGTGTATGTGTCACAAAGGTATTTCCATAGAGGTTTCCTCTGCTCTCCTTTTTGTTCCAACCATCAGGAGTTCTGCTCTTCTCATCACAGCCTCATACTTGTAAATCCTAGGGATAATTCTTTTCTGTTTTGGTCTGTATGAGAACTTCCAGCGCAACAACCTCAGGGGAGTAGGAGAGATGGATGACACGGATGGGGAAGTGGGATCCTGGGCATCCCTTGGGAACAGGGTTTCATAGGCATCCAGCAAAAGGATTTATACATGGAACTGGAGACCTGTCCCACCTTGCACACAGATCTTTTTCACTCCCTGCATTGGCCCACTCTTACACTGACTCTGCAGCAGAAGCAGTGACTTTGGGCAGCAAGAAAGTGCCGGCACTCCCCAACCATGTTTATAAATAAAACAACAGAGTTTAGGTCCTAAATCCTGCATTTTGGAGAGCCCAAGGATTTAGATGGGATGGTCAAGCCAAGCATCCCAAGCTCCTAGTCCAAGAGATGACACAGGAYAACCTCCATGTCAGTTTGAAACTGCACCTAGATCACAATCAGTGAGGACGCATTTGAATCAACTTTCGATGTAATCTTTCAAAAAAGAAAAAACCCCGAATTATCACTGGCAAAAAAGAAGAAAAAAAAATTACTGTGGGGGAGCCACTGACGCAGGACTCCACAGCACTTAAATGCAGCCTGGCTGGCCCCATCCACAGCACCCCAGACAGGCAGCAGCTCCAACGCCAGCTCCCGGCCAAGCCACTGCTGTCCCAGCTCGCCATGGAACGCAGAGCAGGTGGGTGTGACTTACCCTTGCTGAAGGTTGTAAGGTTGCACTGGTTGGTATTCATCTTCAGCTCAGCCATTTCATGCCTATATGCTTTAAAAATGTATCAYGCTGCACAGAACTATTAAGCTTTGCAAAAAACGAGGCAGAAGATTGAGACTAATCATTGTATTCTTTCTCTTTTGGCTTCCTCTCTTCATCTGAACGCAGAGATCAACAGGTTTGCAATCTTCCTCTTCTGTTTACTGGTTCCTTTGGGCTCCTCAGCACCGACAGAGATATCAGAAAGCAAAATGACTGAAGGACAGAGGCAGAAGCGTTCCACCACTGGGATATCACCCTCAGCAGCAGTGATAGAAAAGCGAGCTCATGAGTTGTTTGAGTTCTACGTAAGTGCACCATTTTCCTTGGGCTGTCTCTATGTTTATGGAGAAATCTCTTGAATTATTACAGGACACTAGAAAAACCATCAGAAAATTAAGTATTTGGCTTAGAACTAAAGTAGGTTCTTCTCTGTATTTCATGCAAGGAGAAAAGYGTTTACATTGTGTTATTTCAGGGCAGAGTTGGAGCAAGGGCAGCTGCAGAAAGTTTGGGTGCCTTTGCTTCAGCTCTCTGCCAGCTGGGATCTTCCTGACTCCCAGTGCTCCTCTCAGTCCCCTGAGTCCCACTGGGCATCTTCCTGCAGGAATTTAGTCAGATCACTGGAAACACGGCRAGAATTGCTTTGCCCTTCAGCCCGATCAACAACTGAACCACAACCAAAAACCCCACAAACGAGAAAGGGAAACCAAAGGATTAACAATTCCTCTCTCCTCCTCCTTTCCCACAGCACAATTGTGTCCTTGAAACRTTACACAGCGGGCACGAGACGTTTAGGACCAAAGCCAGAAAGATGGTGGAGAGAATACCTGAATGCCCAGCTTTCCAGGCGAATTGCTGTGCTCTGCACCACATCCACAACATCCTGACAGCTCTGAGCAGTGACATTGAAACCATCTGCAACCAGACCTCCAGAGATGTCATCACGTCCAATCTCAAGCAGTTGAGCACCACCCTGAGAGAACGTGCTGCCCTTTACACCTGCAGGACCCAGGACCTGCCCCAGCTGTATCCCCAGGGCCTGGGCCTGGCGGACAGAAAGACCTACATCTGGTGGTTTTTGAAGAAATATGAGAACATCATGCAMATTACAAATAACCTGGAGCAGTAATTTGACACATCAGGATGAAAAAATAACTTTAAGACACTGGAGAGCTGGTAAAATGTGACTTGTAAGTGTTMTGGGATCAGTTTGATGCCAGGACCAACACTGATACTGTACTTGCTATTYTCTATACCTATACAATCTAGTTTAATTTAATATTTAAAAGGATGAATGTCTTAAATTATTATTGTATTTATTATAAAACTATTTATACCGTCTTATTTGCAACAGCAYATAGAATGTGAGTCAGGGTGATTTAATTAACCAACCCTGACATAAATAAGCAATCAGGAAAATGTAATTTCAGTAATYTTGATGTTATTTATATTTATACCTTGCGGTTATTTCTCAAAAGAAGAATTGATTTTATACTTCTCTACTAGTGAATTTTATTTATGAATTTATACAACACATCTATTTTTATAAATCTATTTAAGCAATTAGTTTATACGTCTATTTATTAATATTTTAAGTATTATATTGTAATACTGAAAGGGATGAATGATGTATTTGCTACTTAGTAGATGAATGGTTTTACTCATTTACTGTTGTTACCTTTGGATAGAACCTGGAACTTAAAATATGAAATAAAAAAAATGTTGCTGGATTCTCTTTTTACTATCAAATTCTTTTTTACAATGTATTTTGCACTGGCCCTGTTCTCCAGGAAAAGTGGGTTTGGTATCAACTGAGTTATTGCCAGTCCCCCAAAGTCTGAGGGGGGATTCTACAAAAGAACTCAAGTTTCCCAAGAGGAATAGAGGGATCAACCTCCTTGTGGGTGCCAGGGGAAGGATTCCCCACAAATGGGCCCAATTTCAGACACAACTGTGGAAATGTCACAGAGTAGGTAAAATTCCAACCTTATATCCTTAATTTTTAATAGAAAGAGTGGTTGGGAAAAAAAAAATCACTGCCTGGGGTTGTGCTTATCCCCAAGGCAGAAACAACACCTACCTGACCTTTTCAGGTGGGGTCAGCAAAGCACTGTGAGCAGGAAAATATTCACACCCTGAGGGYTTAAACATCACCACTGCCAATGATTGACACAAACCACTTAAGCCTTGCTGAACCAGAGGATTACACAGRGCCGCTCCCTGTGGTTTCCTCTCCCATGCACATCTTTCCTTTCACCTTCTAAAGGTATAAATAGCTCAACACAAGTGTTTTCCTTAGAAAGGGAAATGTTTTCTCAGCAGTGCAAACAAATGAGTCAGATGGCCTGCCCCAACTCACGTCATGGGAAATGCTACCTGAAAAGGAAGAGCTGTTCTGCTCTTCCCTGGGGGAAAAGACTCAGAGCATTCACTCCCAAGAGGAAAAGGTGCCAGCCCCAGTGAGAGAACACCTGCAGCCCTGTGGCCTTTCTGGTGCAGGGTCACCAGGGTTCAGATAAATCCTGTGCAGCTCTGGAAGTTGGGGAACACAGCCGTGCCACAGGGTGCATCTCTGCTGTGATTATGATTTGGTCCTGACAAGCAGTTCTCCTTTTATCCTGACTGAAAACAAAGTTTTGAGGCCTATGAGGAATGAAGAGCTGGGATGCAGGAGCCACAGATGGGGCCTGTAAGGAGTGTCAAAAGGGCAGCAGCAAGATTCAGGGATGGGATGAGCCTCATCTTTTGTGGGTTTGTTTCCATTTCATGGTGGAAAGGCATTGGGTGTGTGACACAAATGTGTTGTGCCGAAAYAGGAACATGTTAAACATCTCTCTGAATGACAGCAGGGGCTCTTCAGTGTCTGTAGGGAACACAGGCAACTTCCCCAACACCAATAACCATTCATTGTCCACCCAACTCCTGGAGAAATCCTCAGGGATGAGGACAGGCAGAGATGCGCTCCTGAGGGCAAATACAGTTTAAAAAAATAAATAAAAATCTGGCGAGCATTCCATTCCATTATTTTAGATATAAAGAGAGCCCTGAGCTGTTTGCCCATTKAAGAGCCAATTCCCTTACAGCAGTGATTGCATTTGGCAATATTTCCACAGAGCAAGTAGATCCACTTCTGGCAGCATTCAAGAACCAGCCACAAAAAAGAAGCCACTTCAAAAACTCTTCTGGCACCTCAGCTGAAGTTACAAGAGCCTCTCTGAAATCACCACTAAAACAGTAGTACAGAAACAGTGCTCTGCAGCCACAGCTTCCTCCCAGAGAGCCTCGATAGCATCACAGCAGCAATTCTGCCATTTGTAGTGCTTGGTCAAGACTGAAGGCAGGCTGAAGTGTTGGTTTATCACTCTTGAAATAGAACTGCTCTTCACTCCTACCTAAATGCTTTATGTGAGATCAAGCTTGTGATTTCTGAAAAATTAAATGCAGACTTCAAAAATTGCTGTGCCTCCTGGAACCACATGCTTGACTCATCAGAGGTTTTCATCAGAAATGCTAAGTCAAAGGCATCAATCACAAGGATAAGATCAACYAGTACAAACTCTTGTGTGGTGATTTTAAAATAAAATCCTTCTTTTCACTCTTTYGTTACCTTTTGCTTGAACTAGAGCCTCAACGCTGCTTCCACTAGGCAAGAAAATCCAAAATGCCACTGAGGTGACAACTGATGCACAGAGAGCTGGAGTGTCCTACCAGGGGAAAACAAAAATCAGTCATTAAAGCAAATTCATTAATTTCATTTTTTTAAATGGATTTAAACGGCTCAGTGCCCAACACTGACATCAATTCCATGGGAATACCATGTTATCCAACCTCAGTGCTGCTCTGCAGAGTTCACTGTCCAGGCAGTATGTCAGACTCAAATCCAAGCCTGCAAGAAAGATTATCAAGGCTTAAGGCATTGGTGCAGCATCTACCAGCTTAATAATTTTGGAGCAATACCAGGGCTACCTGGGAATTACTGTTAGAAGTAAGTGCAGAGATGAAAAAAAGAAATTGTATGCCTAGTTTTGTCAAAAGAGCTCACTCTCACTGTTGTGTTGATGTTCAGCCTCAGTCTCTTGTGCTGTTTCAGTGAAATGGAGTGGAGATGATAAAAARGGATAATTTTCCATTTTTGCTGATCTGGCTAACACTGATTCTGCTGAGMCAACCCAGAACAGAGCAAATACAGCCTGAGGGCCAATGAAAGAGAAGAAATCATTTGTGAGCTCCAAACAAGCTCATCAGAGGGAGCTGATTATTTCAATCAAGAAGAGCCAAGGGACACCAAGTTTCCTAAAAGGAGTCCAAACTTCAGCAACTCCATAGGGGATACAGGCCCTGCTCTAGGAATGCAAAACAAACAGATCCAAAGGTAAACTCCAGCACTGTTCATAGGGAAATGAGCTCCTGTCACCTTTCTTTCAGCTCTAAAGAATGCCAGGTGCCAGCCCTAGTCCAGGAACAACTCTACTTTCCATTTTCCCACCTCCAGACAGAAAACAAAGGCATTACAACCAGTTTCTTCCAAAAAATATCCTTTATTGTTTTGGTTGTAAATATAAAAAAATGCATTGCACAATTTAAACAGACCTACTGAAAAGTGCTACATATCAACAGCACAACAGAAGTTGTGTCATGCAACAGAACAGGAAACCTAAGCAAAGCAAGAGCACAACCTGAAGTCCTCATACCTTCAAGCTTTCTTTTTTTCCTTTTTTTTTTAACAAGAATGAATTCCATTCACTTRAAACACATTTAAATACAAGGTTAGAAGAAGAAAAAGAGCTATTTAGTCATTGTATTATTAAAAGGCTTGCTCATAACATTGATATCTTTTGATTGAAAACYTTATTCATGTTGGAAAAGTTCAGATATAAAAAGTCCAGACAATGGCTAGAAATTAATTCCATTATATACCTAAGGTGTGTTTCTTTGTAACTGAAGTTACTGTAATTTTAACTGAAGAATTCAAGTTTTACAGATAAGACTACARTTTGGTTCTACCACTTCTGCTCTAACACAGTAAATGAGCAGAAAATCCAACCAAGGATAAAACAAAAGAAAACTGAGCTTTAACTGATGTTGTGGGAAAAATATTGGGGTCCTATAAAAGAAAAAACCCAAAACAAATAATCTCCTCTGAAACTTAAGTGTATAAATTAAGGAGTTATAGGAAAACTCCTGATGTCTGACCTGATTTAAAAATCTCATAAAAGTTACTGACAGTTTTTCATAGTCCTCCAGACTGGTGTGACTGAATCCCTAAAGAACCTAAACTGGATGTCATCAGCATTTTGATTTTTGGTGGTTTTCCGTGCAACAAAGGTGGAAAGAAATACAAAAAAAATAGAGAAAGGTGAAAACAGTAAAAAAACCATTCTATTTCCAGCAGTACCTTCTAGCTGGCAATACCAAGGCAAGAATTGTCCAYTCTAGAAACTGAGAAAGTGAAACAGCCTTCAAATAATTTGTACTACAAAGCAYTATCATACTGAACATTTCTGCAGTGAGCTTCCCTCTCCTGTTCCCAAACTGCTTTTCAGAAGTCTTGGGCTTTAAAAGCAAATAAAACTAAATTTACCTGTCCCTGTCGCTTCTACCACATGTGAACACAAACACACTCACAAAGGAATGTAACAAACCTGAAGAYACAAAGGGATGCAGTTTTTCAATAAATTTCACAGCCCTTTGTCTTTTCAAGCCATTTCAGATTGAGAGGTTTAAGCCCTTGCCTTTTTCTGGGTTTCTCATACCAGAGGTTATGTCCAYGTGTGCACACGTGTCCCCTGGAGGGCAGGGGATTCAGCAGAACKATGCAATTTTTTCCATACATAGATAGTTACTCACAACCTCAGTCTGAAAGGGTCACACAGATAAAAATCCTCAAAAAAAGCCAGGGAAGCCCCACTTCCTCCATTCRCTGAATTTTCCACAGAGCATCATTTTAGGGGGAACAATGTATGACCTATGATTAGTCAAATGCATACACTACACCAAGATCTAAGGCACAGATGGAAACATTCTGGTAGGGCCCCCTTCAAGAAAGCCTTCCCCAGGGGTCTAGAAAAGCATTGTTGAACATTCCAGTCAGGTGAAATGGTATTAATCAAGAATCCTTTGGTTTTGTGCAGAGATCACTGTCATGGTGAAGCGTGCACTTGTCTCTGATCCCACTCCTCAGTAATTCCTTCAATTYTAGTTTGCTCCTGGACTTTACTGCTCCTGCTAAAAGGAGGCCAACAACTACAATACAAGCTAGTAAATACATCAGATAATGCCCAGAACTTGGGGTGGGGCCACCTACCATATACTGATCAATACAATCTGAGGTTAGAAGGAACCAGCAGACAGTCCCAGTTTGATTTTGTGCATATCACAGGCCATAAATAAGTTATTTAGCCACTCCTTTACTGAGTGAAATGTTGGATTCRACTGAATCTGACTTGTATTCGATTATATGGGGGTTCTCCAAAATTTTAGCACCAGACAGATGTGCAGCACCTGGAAYTCTGTGCAGACTGTAGGCACTGTGTGTTTGGCTCGCTTACTTTGGTGACACTGAGAAAATCAGAGTGCTTAAACTGGGGGGGAGAAATTGTTACTAAACTTTGAAAAAAAATAAARTATTTCAACTCCTTAATGGGTAACAAAGACTAAGGTGCTTAAACATAAATCAAACTGGAAAACTATGCAAGAACTAATACATACGTGGTCCATCTCCTTTTACATCAATCTTTAGTGGTTCTACTGTTCAGATTTGAGACATAAACCAGCTTTTTTCCTCCTGTGTTTCCAAACGAAGTGAAATCACTCTCCTCACAAGGCTGACTGATAAAAGAAAAGAATTCTGAATTGCAATAACAGGGTGACAAGATATTGAATCACTGCTTCAAAGAGCAGCCACATCATTTCTGGTAATTGCACTACATGGAAAATATCTTTTCACTTTTCCTCTCCTCCCTCCTACACTCCTGCCTAAGTAAGAAATATTTAATTTTTTTCTCTTTACTTTAAGATTTGCAGTTTTTTAACAGTGCTTTGACCATGTTTTTGCACCACAGTTTATWAAATAAGCACTTTCCCTCCAGTTCTAACCAGCTAATGGTGCAATCAGAATAATGAGTTTTCCATCTACATCCACATAAAAGCTGTGAACGGACAAAATTTTTTAGCACTTCAGTCAAATTACCCCTTCCTATTTCTTTAAGGTCRTTTTCAGCTTCCAATCCTTTCAGTGAGATATGTTTAATTTCAGCTGTCAGATTTCCCTGGGCCCTGAAATATGTACTGCACTGTGCTTGTTGGGACAAGACTCCCACGTCATCGATACCAGAAATGGTTAAAATCACACACCATCACTGCTGACAAGGAGATCACACCTTACAGGATCTGCTCATCTGAAAAGGTCAGCAAAAACACCAGCTCTTGGATAATATGCCTACTGCTTTCTTGCTTGAAACCCAGACACATTTTCAACACATAATCAGGCATCGGTGCATCTCAGCGAAATGAGCTCTCCAAGGAAAGGATGTGAGGAACATCCCCAGCTCATCACACTATAAAACTATTTTACTAAAATCAAATTCACAACCAGTGATAAAAATGTGAGGATTGAAAGCATTGATTTTTAGGATTTACTTATTSAATACTTCTTACCCAGATGTATCCAAAAGAGTATTGCTTAATTATCAAAGACCTGGAAATGGATCCCTCCAGAAAATMTGCTCACTATTTAATTACTGGGACAACCTTTGCATATCATTCCTTGGTTGAGACTTGGAATTTTGTAGCTTCTGTCACAGGGACACAAGTATTCACATGTGCCGTGAACTTCAAATTACGTATCAAATCTACTGTAAAAAAATAACAAGAAAAGCATCTCCCCCTCTGTCTGCTCAACTAGAGGAAGGTGTGCTGGTACAAAATGTGCCATTCTGCCTTCCCCTTCAGCCCCATTCCTCTGTGCAGGGACAGGGTGTTGGGGCTCACCTTTTGTACCTTCTCCTTGCTACAGTGCTGCTCTCACAGAAGGAACTCTGCAAGGAAAGCCATTAGCTACAAAAATTCAGGACAAAGGAGAAACGAGATCAAAACCATCCCCTGTACTCAGTCCTACTCTCCAGGCCTAATGTTTCCTTTCAAACTTTGGCCCACCAAGTGGAGGGGATTGGGGACAACGCTGAGAAAAGCTCCTTTCCCCAAGGAGAACCTACTGAGCCCTTTCCAGTGAGTGCAACCCCCATCACCTCCAGCCTGCTCTGGGGACTGAAGAAAACTGCTCAAGGGTAACATTCCCACCATTTGCACAGCTCTGAATAATCAGGATCAMGCCATGAGTGGAATTACAAAGGGTCACAGGATCATCCCAGACTATGAACAATCAGCTGGAATGAACATCCCAGTCTCAGGATGGACAATCACTGCTGCAAAGGGACTCTGTTTACCTGCAGCAGAACACAGTACATGCTGAGACTCTCACAGAAAAATGTTATGCAGTATTTTGAGTTTTAAACATAATTTTGTATGTTTTATAATTCACACAGAAGGTAACTTTCCCWTACAGACCAGGCTTTGCAAAGTCCTTCAGGTTTTTCAGATAGAAGGCAAAAAGAAGMAGCAGAAAAGACAAGGAAGCAAAAAACTGACTACAAGTCCGTGTGGTTTGATATAGCTTCTCAGATAACAAAAAAGCCAATTTTTTAACATTACAAACTCAATTCTTGCCTCTGAAGTGCTACTACATTTACCTATGGATGTGTTTCATATGTGCACATTTTGTGAGGATGGCAGCTGAACTGTGCAGAGTGCAAGAAAATAGTTCATTGATTAAACTGGTATAAAATTCATAATTTATCCTAACTGCAGAATTTATACAATCTMAAACTCCTTTCTTGCACTTACTGCACAGCCTGCTACTCCCTTGCAATGGCTATATCAGAAAAAATAATAAAAATCAGCTACTTTATTTACTAGAAAATAAAGCACGTCTTGAAACCGATCATATGCAATGATACACTCRTTAAAATAAAAATACACAAAACACAGCCTGAGATTTTAATTCTAGTATTTTTGCCACAAGTTGACATCACTGACGGATTTTTCTTCTCCTTTGGTTTTTCATATGATCCTGTTTAACAATTTTCACTATTCAAGTAAAACAAATGGAACCGAATACCAGAAAACAAAATAGAAAGCACGTTTTGCTTCATGAAATCGAAATTATTTTTTCCCCTTGAAGAGCACATTCCTCGGTGTACACGATTTACACTTCAGAGAATTGAGGGTGTTTCATAGAAATCTCTTAGTTGCATACAGATGCATTGATGGAGATCTATTGCTGCCTGCAGGGCTCAAACCTGCTGAGTTTACCTGAGCTTGGTGTTTTTTCTCACGTGATGGAGCACAGCACAGCACTGGAGAGGAACCAAAACGTTCTGACAACGCTGCCTCACACCTGCACCCGTTCCCAAGGCAGGGCCAGGTGCCCTGACAGCATCTCGGGTGATGGAGAGAATCCTTTTCTAAAGTGCACCGACTGGAGGAGCCTGGGCAGGCGGGGCTGGGTGTGTTCTCCACCCTGGGACAAGCACCTCAGTGTCTTTGGTTGTTAGGTCTCCCCTGCTCTCTTGTTCACCTTGGCCACGGCCTCCCGSGCCTGCTCCGGCAGCTGCGATGGGTCCGACAGGATCGACGTGGTCGTGCTCAGGTGCCGGAGGGTGTTCAGCACCACTGTGAAAAGAAAAAAAAACAAAAACAGGAAAGCATCAGGAAAATCTGATCAGTTTAAATTCTTGTCTATTCCTCAATTTGGTTTTTCAGTGTTAAGCACATGACCAAGTGTCCTCCYAGTCAGAAGAGGCTTTTATTTTTCCACTGAGTTAACAAAAAGTCACATTCAGCATCATGTGCTTTCTTTGTCATCCTCTGACTTTTAAGAAATGCTATTATATTATACTTTCTATGATCTGGAAGAGTTGTTGGATGGAACTTCACTTACTTGGCCTCAGAACAGGAAGAGAACAGTGCTGATCCAACCAGGCCAGTGCAGTTTCCCTCAGATCCTTAAAGCTTGTTGTGGAAACCATCTCATTGAAGGACTCAAACAATGGCTTAATAATAATGCTGAACTGCAAACCATTAAATGTYAAGGGAGACAACAATAGAGGAGTTCAAAACGTTCTATGGGAAAGGCTACAGCAGAGAAAACACTGGATTTCTAAAAGAACTTCARCTGCCAGAGGGACTGCAACATTTCACAAATTGTATTTTCAAATCTATAACACTATGACCGAATTAAAATTCAACCTTAGCTCCTCATGACAGTTATATTTTGCAAAATTCCTCCACATTGACCTGAAGGAGAAAAAAGGAAAGGGAAAGGCACAAGTTTCTGAACAGCTTCAGTAACTGATTTTCTTTCCCCTGAACTTTGCTAGTGTCTAGTTTCCCAAAAGACAACCACAGCTGCAGTTACAGCAGAGTCCACTACAGATTTCTTGCAGTACAATAACGCAGCAAGAAAACCTTGCCTCTGCGTTGCATTTTACTTTCCAGTTACTTCCCATAYTTTGAGGTGAACAAGCTCTCCAAGAATCCATATCCACACAGAGATGTGGATGAAAACTGAGGACATTTGTTRTTTAAATAACTTGGCTTGAAGTCACAGCATCAGAAACCCAAGTTCTTATCTCTAGAAGTACCAGTACCAAAGCCCAAGTTCAGCAGGGCAATATAAAAAGGATACAATCCAAAACTTCCAGTTCTGCAGGGTCCTGCTTCTCACATACTCATCAAACAACCTCCTCATGTGGTCAAACCTCTGTCGTGTTACAGGAACCCCAGTAGCAGGGAGCTGCTGCTGGCAAGAACTGAAAAGATGTTCAGATGTCAGAATCCCACCAAAGAGGAAACATTTCTCCTCCAGACTAAACKGCAGCAACAGAAAATTGTGTATTCCCCACTATCTCTGGTGGAGGGGCTTCTCTCAGACTGTAACTGCTCCAGCCAGGAATACAAACTCTTTTCCCAACAATGCTGTCTGCATTCCCGTAGCAAAAGAGGACACACCCCCTGCTGTCTGACCCAAGCAATAACGAGGCTCCTGTTCCATCCCTGAAAGCTCCCCATTCTCACAGGATGGTGGCGTTCAGCTCCTCGATCTCTTCCCGGAGGCGTCTGGTTTCCTCCTGCATCTGTGTCCTCTCCTGCTGCAGCTTAGCGATGTATTCCACTGTTTTCTGGAGTGTGATGGCATGGCTGATCTGCATCAAAACACAGGCACGGAGCTCATTTTCTGCAACAACCTGAGATTCGTGAAGAGTTTGTCTTCCCAACCTGCACTTCAGCACCTTTTCATTCTCCTTCACTATGTGTAAAAGCACAGGGTCAGGCAGAGCAAAACACTTCAAATACTCAACTCTGAATTTCTCTGACTTTTCTTCACACTCCAGTCCAGAGAAATGTGGCTGCAGTGGCTGTTTTCTACCATAAATTACATTTCTGCAACTTTGTTGAAAGAAGTATTTTAATAATTTAAAATGTTTTATTTCATTATCTGTTCTCTAAAAATATTTACAATTCTTACTTAAGTACTGAAGGATGTGCTACATCTCCAGACAGATTTATAGTGCTGGTAGAAGCGCTGTTTGAAGTTGGCAATATAAATTATTTAGTTTGAGAAACCTGAAGTTATTAAACAGAAGGACCCATCAAAAGAGATAGATGAATATACTCTTCAGTTTGGAGGAACCAATTAAAAATCTGTACTTCAGAAATAAAATACCCAGACATTTTAGCAAAGCTGAGCTTTCAAAACGGATTTCCTTTCAAATAGGCTAYTCAAGTCAGGAAGTGAAAATTCTAACAATGTATCACCTAAATTTCTGAAACTGTAAGAATTATGTAAAGAAATCAACATGCTGCACGAAGAGCTTCCATACTGCCCATGTTTCAAAGCTACTGGTATTTAAAAGACATTTAGCTGAGCAGATAAATCTGTATTTCACAATAGTGGACTAAGTTAACTAGTGTAGCTAGAATACAAACTTAATTTGGACCAAGTAATTTGACAACAAGGAATCAGAATTCCTTTCCTCTGTAAACCCATGCACAAAAGACAGGTGATGGGGAAAAAGGCTCTGGGTGATGTAAAGAGTCCTAAAGAGATTTTCCAAATCATCTGAACTGGCCACRCTTCTGACTCCTGCTGGGAGGCAGAGAGCTCAATGGTGTAGGAAATTTTAGGAATTTCCCTGAGTTTTTCCATTATTCCTGTGCTCACTGCTGTGTTCCAGCAGCATGTGCTCTGCCATACTCAACAGGAAAATGACCACATTTAATAAGAAGACTTTTAGAATGGCTCTTTCTTWCATTCCACATGAAACTGTAAGTGCTGCTGAGGTACTTACCGACTTGGAGTTGGCTGACACCAAGCTGTTCAGAGCACTGAAACCAATCTTGATATTAAATCTTCGTTTTTGTTCCGAAAGATGCTTCATCCTTCGATTCTGCATAAATAAGATCAGCTCAGTYTATGCCATTCTCCTTTACTGTTCTACTGCTATGACTATTTCAGTTATTCAAATTCAGTGTAATTTTTGTTGGCATGCACAGGCTCCCCTGGAACAACTCTCCAGRATTTTAATGATGAATTGACAGTACATTTGTGGACCAAGCACCTCTGACATCTGCAACTATTTTAAGCATCCCATGCCAGGATGGTAAGAAGATTTGAAAGATATTAAATTACCTGAATGTTCTAGATTTGTACARGGTGCACATGATTTGTTACTCACCAGCAAGGCACAGGAAGGTTGTTTGAAAGATACTATTTGTCTAGTGCTTCACCAGAAAGAAAAGATCACCCTACACYTCTTTCTAAGTTTCAGCTRTGTCATCAGGAAATAAAATATTTARGATTTGTATTAACAAAAGAACAAAGATCAGTAGACCCAGAACTGGTCCAGGCTGTAGTAGAAATACCTCACAATCAGTAACAAAGAAAATAACCAGCAGGATTTTTTAGGCACAGGRTGATCCTGCAGCCCCTGGATCTCAGGGCTTGGGAGTTACATAAACCACTGACAGGAGCTCCCAAGGTTGGTGTCCAAGAAAGAAAAGACTTTCCAAGCTATAAAAGGAGCTCTACTTTCTACTACSGCACTGAGAATGCCAGATTATTCCCAGGCCTCTGAGCTACTGAGGACAAAGGAGCAGCCGGCAGATCCCTTCCCAAAGCTGGGGCCACACCGCCGCCMTGTGGCTCCTGCCCAGCTCAGCTGGAGGCTGGAACAGCAAGGGATCATCCCTGGGATGGTTACACGCGTCACAGTCACATCAAGGACACACAGAAAGGGTCCAGGGAAGAACAAAAAAACTCCAGAGCAAAAATCCCTGCTGCACTGAGATGTGTGTGCCAGGCACGCAAAGGAGGTGCAGGGACCATAACAGCCCAGGGATTTCTTTGTTCTGAGTCTTGTTTGGCAACACCAGCTCGAGTTGTTCCTATTGCTGCATCACTCAATTACTACCTTTTCCTGTGAGTTTGCAGCAGGAAACCTGGGGTGAAGAAACTTTTTTAACAGGGTTTGTACTTSGAGAACACATTCCTGGCAGAGTGAAGCTTTCCGGCAGGAACTCACCATCACCCCACTTTATAATGGAGGAAAACTATGTAATAAAGCAGTGAAGTGGCTGCCCAAAACCACAGAAAATGCAGACACAAGAGCAGAACTGAGATTTCCAGTGCCCTCCATGCTTTGCCAAACTGAAATAACCATGTTACCTAGCAATACAGGACTGTTTAATCTAACTAAGAATGCAGAGGAACAAAAGCACATACATCTGGAGTCTGGCAAGTATCACTAGTTCTCGTTTTAGAAGAGTTGCTAATAGGATACATCCAAAGAAATTCCTGTCACAGCAGGTGTGTTTACATCACTATGAAGCCTATTTCATTGCAGTGTCCCTGCTTTTAARAATGCTCCTCCACCTAGTGACCACYTTCACACCACCAGCCAGCYCTACTAATTTATTCCTTCACTAAATAACTCTCAAGCAGCAGAACAGGATGCATCTACTGCTTGTGAGYATCCATGCCAAACACATCTCTGCCAACTTTTATGAGCAACCTGCAGCACGGTCAGCAGGAGGCAGTTCTGATTCTCCTCTGCAACAGATCTAGAACTGACTATAGCCAAAGGCTACAGGTGTCAAACTTACCTTTCTGCCCTAGGAGTAATCAAGCTGCCATCAACTCACAGGGTGCACAGGGGCAGAGAAGCCAAAAGGAGGGTGGCACTTGCAAAACAGTAAAGTACCACCCCATTTCACAASAGAATGAATGACAGGGTTACAGCTGATTCTTCTGATTGGGGTTTTGTGGAAAAGTTTCTCATACCACCACAGAAAGTGTTCTGACAAGGTCAGTTGTGTGTGAGGTACAAGCAGCGCTCAGCACTCTCYAGACCACCGAGTTCTTAGCCCAGCAATTCTCCAAGGGTTTTACAGGTGTAACTCATAGAGTCTGTGAAGCTGCTTCTCTGTGGAGCAGCATAGCATCACTGGAGACATGTAAATAACTCAGCAGGCCAAGAACTTTCCCTCCAGCAATGGCCAGAGCCCTGCAGACTGAAGAACCCCAACACAACAATGGCAAAAAGCCACGGTTTAGAACACTAAGCCTGAAACCTTTGACCAAGGCATCTGTCACAACATTCCTGTGAGCCACAGCAGGAACTGCTGCCATGACCACAAGGACCTGCAGAGGTACAGCTAAGCCTGGCCCCTCTGGTGACACATCCCTGAGGAGCAGAGCAGTTTATTAAAGTCTCACATTTTGGATTGCACATATGCCAAGCCCAACACACAAGTATGCTACTGTCCTGAAGCACAGCTTCCTTTAGTCCATGCTCAGACATCACGATAGAAAAGAGCTACAAAGGCAAAGAAGAAAAATAGGAACACACACCTTAAATGCAGCCATAGWAGGGTCAGTGGCAGGTTTTCCTGAGCAGCTGTTCTGAGGAGACTGYGGACTGGGGCTCTGCTCAGAGGCACAGGGGGAAGCCTGGCCTGAATTCTGACAGTCCCGGCCTTTATAAAGGAAAAAACACAAGACACATTAACAAACAATTTTCTCTAGCAAATGTAACATTTGAGAAGTTTCTACTCAGAACTGAACTGAAATGCAGTCTGCAACCAAAATACAYGGTTGGATGCAGCAACCACATGCTAGAAAACATCAAGACTGCTGGGAAAGCTCAGGATACCACGTCACAAGTGTCATACATCCTGGATGGCAAGATGTACTATCCTTTCACAGACACATTTCAGCAAAGGCATGTTGGATGCATAGGCTGCGATTCCATCATCCTGTTGGACTCTCCCGTTTGACTCTACACGATGGTGATATTTCTAAGCCATTAACTACCAAAACCAGCCCAGGTAATGCTCCATYGATGCACATGCAAAAGGAGTCTTTGCACTTACCCACAAGGATTGTGTCTGAGATCCTCCAGTCAAAATCAGTCATGACACTGAACAACAAACCTATCCAGCACTTCCTACACAGATGCTTTTCATTTCTTGGTGACTATGACAGCACATCCTTTTAGAAAGGAGCCACTTACAGGAAGCCCAGAATCAGAGTTTGTGGGGACACTGCAGAGTCACTTCAGACAAAAACTGCAAACTACTGGATGCTACTGAAGCTCTGGGGTAGAAGGGTCTGAAAAGCTTTTCCTTCAAAAATTATCTAGGGATCCTCAAGCCCATTTCCACCCTGCCTAACCAACAGAAACACACTTCCAATGTGCAGGGGAGAGAATGCTTACAGCTTTCTAACTTACTAGGTGTAGGTGAGGGAACTTGTAAACAGCAACTGTGGGAAGGGATGTGCTCTCCTTTCACCAACACATCCTGGACTACACTAGGAGGGAAGAGATGTGAGACTGTGGACTGGCTTTGTTGACTACTTGGTGCTTGCTGTGCTGGACCAACCAGAATGTTACTATGGAACTCCGTCACCCGGGGAGCCTGGGAACAGCACAGAAATAGCACAGAGAAAAACAGAGAGAAAGAGAGAACAGGAGGGGCAGTGTGGGGGCAGAGGGAGAGAAGGGATGAGGGAAAGGAGAAAGCGGGRGGAGAGAGAGATTAAGAAAGAGAAAGAGAGAGAGAGAGAGATTTGTTACCTTGCCTTTCACTAAAAGTAGCAAATTAATACATGATTAACAATCTGATGACATGAAACAAGGGCTAGTATATAAGGAATTGGCAGGCACCAAAGTCAGGCTTCTGGCAGGAGACCAGTATCCTTTCATATCTTAAAGCAGTATTATAACACATCAACAGCATAATATACTAAACTCTATCTCCATCTTCCTGCACACAACATATTGGGGAAACCCACAGACAGCCAAGGCATGTTTTACAGTATGGCAGAGGGAAGATGAGCTCCWGGGCTCCTTCTAGTTTCTACACAGTTAAAGCACAAACCATCCCCATCCACAGCACTGTGATACAGGCCTCCTTGGGMTCTTACTGTTGTGTGAGACAGTCTGTCAAGACTAGAAAGTGCTTCCAGGCCCATRAAGTGACTAAATTAAAAATAAGCAAACACAATGCTGAATGCACAAATGCATACATTGGGTAACATGATTTAGTGGACTCGTTACCCTCTTGAGCACATTATGGCTCTCACTACTTGCAAATAACAGGCCTAGAAAAGAAATATATAATTTTTTTTTCTTCTCCTTACTCTGACAATTCCAGCTGGTGCAATTGCAACATTAGACTGAGACGTGGCTGGCGTCAAAATCCCCTCTCTTTTTAAAGGTGCTGGAGTTACAATCACAGCTCTGGACTGTCCCTGAAAGGCAGCTGAAGAACATAATTCAGTTAGAATAGTTAATGAGACAAAAAAAAGAAAAAGCTGGAGATTATTTTGTGTAAAGTATCTTGTCATTTAACAGGCAGGTGGATCAATGGGCATCTATTTTGTACTATTTCACTGCAGTATAAAATGCCACCAGTTTTCCAACAATCTCCACCCCCTTAATCCAGTACAAAGGACYTCAACACTCCAGCTATTTCTGAGTTTCCTAGCGTCACTGTTTCAAGGTGAATTGTCAGAGGTTTGTGGTAACTGAGGGAGATGCAAAGTGTCTTCATTCTGTCAGAGCTGGGATTGACAGGAGGAGGACCATCCACACTTTGGGATCTCAGTTTGCTCTGCTGACCTAGGAAGGGTCAATGACTCAATACTTCATGCTTCTTTGTACATGTATCTTCAATCCTTTCCCTCAGCACTTCCAGCTTCTTTCAYTGTCTGGTTTTACAGCTGCTTCAGATGACACACAACCACAAGACAACCAAATGTGACTGGGAATCAGTGTCAAAATTCCAGAAAATATGCTACAGAACCAAGAGTACAGTRCTTAGACTGCTAGAGGCCATTCTGAACAGCAGCAAATCTCTACACATGACACTGTGAAGATCTCCATTCAACCAATATRTGCAGTTATTAACATGCCATTAATGCTGACATGGTTCTTGCCCAGTCTASACAGAACATGATTGACCATCCTATAGTTACTAAAGGAAAAATCGGGTGAAGACACAGCTACTGTCTGGGTTTTGATAAAACKGAACCAAATGTATTTGGCTTCACTCTCATTTGGCTCAGCTCTCCTTTGTACTCGTAAAGTCACGATGCAGGAAAAGTGTCAGCACAGCTCAGCCCCTGCTGAGCCACCCCTCTGCAGTTCAGCATCAGGTTCTGAAGGACACACACAGCAGGACAGGGAGACAGTGCAGGGTTATCCWAAGTCCCCTCCCTGACAGTGTCACCTGTGACTGACAACTGTGTTTTGACTCAACTGGAGTTTGTGCACAGGCCCTGTAAGAGAGGCCTGTGGATTGCACAAACCTTGTGCCAGCCCTTGCGTGGGTCTGTCTGGAGGAGAGCTGTGACACAGGGAGTTCATTCTTTGAGCATTCCCACATCTCAAGCTGGAATCACAACCCTTCCACTGTTCACTGATGTTCAGCCGGACTTACGACATCTCTATTGAGCTCAAGAACCTACTCTCACCAGTGCATTAATGCTGCTGCACAGGCTTGGCCTTTCTGACTTCCACATTTGGGGAACTGCAACAATCAGCAACAATATTTAGAAGTCACTTTACATGATTCATGTTTCTGTTCTACAAATGTATCTTTTGCAGACTTTTCTCTCAAAAATCTGCACATTTATCCTGAAGTGGTGATAGCAGTGAAGTCTTGCACCTGAAGAGACAATCTGAACACATTTTTGAGTCCTTATACCACAGAGCAGTCAATGTCTTACATCCCTTTCTAACAAAAGATATAATGCAATTTGCTTTAAAATCAGCAGATGATTTGTTTGTCCTGGAGACAAATGACAGGCATAAATGCCTCACTTACAAGTACCGATGTTCATTCTACTGCCAAAAATAAAGCTCTAGTATTTATATAAATTTTTGGAGTTGTCCCCTGAGCTTGATGTCCCAATAGTTTAGGAACACCATGACCCCCAAACACATGCCACTAATCTACATGGGAAACAAAGCCAGTGGTTGTGATGGTCTAGAAGTAAATGGTGGAGTATTGGGAAAGTAATATATGGGGTGAGGAACAACCCAGGAAGTACTGAGAAAAGGAGGAGCAAAGGCTTTCTGAAAATGAGTTGCCTACAATCATTACTAGGTGAGAAATGCATGTCCTGATTGCTRAAGTTACTGCTGGTTTATAACATACTATAGATAGGAACACTATTAATCATGGACCAAATTGGTCCCAGTGACATCCTAGAATTAGCTCTTGGGTCTGTTCTTCTCCTGAACAGTGATTTTTCTTTTCGGTGGGYAACCTCACTATCAGGCCCTGGCAAACACACCTACTCCCTAGTAGAGCCTGTTTAACAATACTCCTCCAGGCAGGCTTTTTCTTGAATTATTGTTGCACATTTCAAGTGGCTGAAGTCACTTGGCCCCCAGCCAGCACAAGTCTAAAAACAGCCTGCAATAATCCCAAGAAAAGCACGTTGCCTCTCATGCTCCAGCCTTAAGATTTCCCACAAGAAACACCTCAAGCAAAATTCTCTCTCCTCATCTTGTTATTCTTCACCTTGTGCAGTGCTAATAGCTCCAAATCCCACCCAGTGTGAAGGTCCCAGGTGTTCCTACCCTGACCTAAAATCTGCTCCTGACTCTGAGCATCTCATGGGTCTCTCTGACTGCTTGAGACAAAGATGTCCAGCTCCCTCAGGAGATCTCCTCCTCTCCTCTCCTAGGGGAAGGTAACACTCTCTCCCAGCTATCTCCCCCTCCACTGTGGCTGAATGCTCTGAGGGGCAGTTAATCACAACAGCATTCCACCTAAATCCAAGGTTTCTATGGGGCAGGAGCATAGCCCATCACAGATGTTACAGGGAGAGACCCCCTTTCACAGGTCAGCTTTTCACACTCAGCCAAACTGCTTCCAACCCTTACAGCAGTCTAGAGCATCCCACTGAACAGTGCATCCACTGCATTCAGCCAGTGGATCCAGGGGTTATGTGGACACCCTCAGAAGATTGATTTTAACTTATTATGTAAAGAAAGAAAAGCAAGAAGGTCTTTCCCTCCTGCTGACCCCATTCAGAAAAGGAAAACATCCCCACACAGTGCTCCTCACCTGGGGTGATGAAGGCATTCTTTACCAATAAGGACACTGTTTCAGGCTTCGGAGCAGGCACTATTTTCTGTGACTGTTTGGGCCTTGTCCCAGCACTGGCCAGAGGAACAGGTTTGGGGAGTGCAAATGTCAGCTGGGATTGCAGCTGGGGCCGGGGCTGCCCCTGCACAACAGCAGTCTGGAAGGCCAGGTTACAAGGCACTCCTGCCCCCGGCTGCTGCGTGGCCAGCACCAGGCTCTGGCTCTGGCTGAAGGTGGTGGCAGGAGCGTTCTGGGTCAGCGTGGCCGAAGCAGTGTGAGTGATGACCGTGGATTCACAGAGGCCGAATTTGGGCGTTTCTGGAGCAGCAAAGGCKGCCGGTGCAGGGCTCAGCGGCACCGCGGGCAGCGGCGATGGGTGCTGTGCGCTCGGGGGCTGCAGCAGCGGCAGGGCCGGCTGGAACACTGACATGAAAGTTTGTGGCCCGCTGAGAGACGAGTCRGCAGGGAATTCTGCTGGCTGGATGAAAGATCCCCCACTTCTAATGCTGGAACACTGGTCAGCAACAACGTCAGGAATGACAGGAGAAGGTACTGAGGAAGGAATCAGTCCGTCGCTGATGTTCCCTGCTGGGAGCGTGTTGGGCAATGAACCCGACGGCAGGACAGGAGACTGAGAGACAAGAGAAATATCGCTGATTCAGGCATGTCTGAGCTCCTCCTGAGAGGACATGGCTCGTGTCAGAGCCTTCTGTTTTAAACCTCTCTTACCTGGGAAGAGTGGCTGCTGCTGTCTGTGGTAGCTGAGCTGACAGCAGACACRGAAGGGAAATAATTACTGGAGCGACTGGGCGTGAATAGTTCTGAAACATGAAAAATCACCTCTTAATTTTCTAATTTTCATACTCAARGTACAGCATTGCTAGATCCTAAAATTCACAGGAATGTCATTATTATTTAGTAAATAGCGAAACCGTGAGATTTTTGCTTCATTCAGCTGCTGGTGACTGAGCAATGAATTGCTGTCTTCCAGAAGAACTRATCTTTTCAGGGCTGACTTCTTCAACTTTCGTGAAAACTGGGACAATGCGAAAATCAGTCCTCTGTTTAAGGTTCATCTACACACAGCCAGCCAAGAGCTGAACCCCAGCAAGTCCCACTAAATTCAGTTATCTGAACTGATACAGACTGCATGCAGAGCCAGCAAACAGCTGTGACTCTTGACTTCCATGAAGATCCACAACTATCAAAGCTGTCAGCAGTAGTTTAATGTCATATGGAATTCCTGACAGTGCCATAAAATATTTAAACACAAACAAAATGTTAAATGTCTTCATCTTTTGTACTAAGAAGTATGAAATGGGTAAACCATAGATACCTGTAACACCTACACTTCTTTTAAAACCTAGTTCATAAATCACTGCAATATTTCAGAAAGTAATGAACTCTATAGATGATTCTTACCCTGAAAAGGCTCAAAAGTATCCATAAAATCAAAATTTGGCTGGAGAGGAATAAGCCCTGGTTGAATCATGTCAGCATTTCCTAAGTGTCCTGCAAAAATCAGGAGATAGATTAGATTAGCTTCATATCACTCACATARTAACATTAGTAGGAATAAAACACTCCACAGCCAGGCTTGGCTGAGATGTTACAGAAAAACTGCTGCTGAAATGAACTGAGCATCTGCTTCTCTTCAGATCCACAGCACGGTGCAGAAATCAAAGCCACTGGGGAATGAAACTTTCAACTACTAAAATGGAAGAGGTGAAACCTGAAGGCTCTAATGACATCTGGGATTGCCAAGCTCAGATACCTCCTGCTCCCAAACCTCCTGTCTTGTCCTTGCTGCACCACACACAGCCTTGCTGGGAAGCACAGCCTGAGCCACCACAGCTCGTAGCAGAAAAAGTTAAAGTTAAAGTTAAAAAGTTAAATCATCACCCATTTCATTTGCCTTGAGTACAATTCATGTAAACCATGGCTGCCCTGGAGCTGCTCAGACATCCACGYAGCAAAGATGGTGAACAGTGGACATGTGCTGTCCCATCACAGTCAGAGACTCCAGAAAGAGCTGAACAGCTCTTGGGATTGTTTGTACAGAWGCAATTTGCACTGGTTGTACTGGACAAAACCAAGCAAAAATACACAGGCACTCACTTAAAAACAGACACATAACTATGGTTTGAGATAAATCACAGTGCCTTCACYATTGATAAGGTAAATATTCATTACAGACTCATTCAGAGCAATATTAGCAAGCAAAGCTGGGAGCAACATATAAGAAGCTAAGACAGAAATTAAATTTGGATTATTAACCGGGATTCCATAACCCACAGAACTGTAAGACAGCCACATTCCCTGACCTGTTTTCATCTGTATCAGCAATATAAAATAGATTACTTAGGCAGATTGCAAGAACACCAAGGCAACAAACCACAGTTTTTGTAGGGGTTCTCACTGCAACACAGCTACAGACAACAAATACCTATGTCCCTGGAATTCGGCCAGGAAACCAGCTGATGCGAAGACAGTGTGGAGAACAGGGTGTCTGTGAACTCGGACATGAGCATGTCTGCATCCAAGAGGCTGCCTTCCTCCATTGGCACAGGGGTTTCTCTGCCATACCTTCTTTTYTGCCAGAGAACCACATCATCATCCTGTCAAAAGAAAGGAAGAGAGGTCAGGCTGCCTGGACAAAGCCAAAGCAGTCTGGTRCAGATCTATAAAAGCAGCCTACATTTTTCACATTTTTAAAGAACCTTTCCCTGAGGAGCCATCAAATGGACTGAAACAGATCAGTGGCACTTCTGATACATCAGCAACTTCAGCTCACTGAAACACCACAACACTCTGGGAAAGGTTTTTGCCCAAAATGCAGTTGTTGACTAGAAGGATATAAGACAAATAACAAYATTTTCTTSTTTGATTGATTACACAAGTATTTTYGCAACTAATTTAACAATCCTTTGGTTTGAATAAAGATTAAAAATAACATGAACAGCAATAATGCAAAGCAAACAACTCCTGTCTTGTGAGATGTAGCTGAAACTCTGAAGCGTAGTAAAGTGTAATTGCACTCTGAGTTTGCACAAGGCACTTTTTGCCCATGAAAAATACAACATAATGTGACTTGGCTTACCCATCCCTCACTACAGGCTGACCTAAACTGCACTGCCTTGCACAAACAGAACAGTGCTTCTGATCATCAGTTTATACACCCAAAGCAGGTTTGAYAGCTTGAGAGGACATACTAAATAGTGATACCACTGTTCCTTTAACCCTTTTGGCCTTTTTTAGGATTCTGGCACACTATCTGCCTGAGCTGTGGGCACAGCAGGAAGATCTGCAACATGTGGCTCACACATCTTCACAGATCCAGTTACACAAGCAAGGCAGCAGTGCCAGCTACAACTCAGTAGCAAGATGAAATCATGTGCCAGCCCTCAAAGACACTGATCTCTCTGGACATGCAATGCTGAKTCTCATTTCTTCTGTCACAGCACTTTACATTCAACCTCTCCTCCATCCAATTTAAGCTACAAATTTTACATTGCTCTCTAAGGCACAGAACATGATGGTGTTAACCTTAATTAAGGCTTAAGCAAGATGCTTGTCTTTAGATTTTAATCACAGCAAGCTACTGCATGTTACAGCTTTGTTATCTACTGCAGGTTCTACAAGCACAAATGCTGCCACTTCCCAGTGGTGTTACCTACCCTGACCAAACTTGAAAGATCTTCATCTTTATGTTTCTGTAACTGCAAAACGAGAAAAGAACAGATGGTAAAGTCAGAATAGGTCCTGTATGTGCCAGCAGAAGACCTGATTTTGCAAAACTTTTAAGACCCAATCATGCACAATCAGCCACAGCACAATAATTTTTATTTAAGTGGAACTAGTCAGATGAGCATGTCTCTACCAGCTTATCATCTGTTTTAAGTACTCTTGCATGCCAGGAAAAGTGATAAAAAAAACTCAAAAAGCAACAACATACTGATCAAGCTCAAGWAAACTACTTTGACTGTGTAAACCAACAGACCCTTTTCTTGAAGTATGTTCTCCACTTGTGGTATTCCCTGACGACTATTTCAATTCTTCGTTTCCARTATTTCCCTTCTGTTGCAATGGCCTGAGAACACAAACACATACCATGAATGACACGGAATCAWGTAAGGGCTGAATATTCAATAAATTTCCAAGCAAATATTCAGGCATAAAAAATGCAAAAGAAAGCATGCTGATTCTGTTTGAGCTCATGTATCAGCAGCCCACACTGTCCCAGAGTTCAGCTATTACAGAGCAAATCTGACAGTACTAACTTCACCCTTCCCACAAAAACCAAACACRAGATGATGTCTGACTGCACTGTCAGCATCTCCCACAGCAGCTCAACCATAACCAACAGTTAAGAAATGGCCAAAAATACCCCTTTTAAATTAATTTACTGAAATATAATGTATAAAGCACACAACACCCTGTGGATTTCACAAGGCCACATGCACAGACGYACACATAAGCAAAAGCTGCTACGAATGATGCAAAGCAATAGAAATCTGATGTCCAGCTCAGGGARGACCTTGCAGGCCACACACTAATGGCAACAAAAGGGTCAGACAATATGGGTCTTCAATGTATCGCAGAGAGCAGTGTGTAAGTTGGGGAGAGCAGACTAATGAGAGCCTTAACTTTGTGTTCGAGGGTCAYTTTCAACACAAACATCAACACTGTTCTTTCAAAAACCTGAGACAGTTCCACAAACTCATCTGGAACTCCTCTGAGTAATAAATTATTCTAGAGTTATGCAGTATAGAGAGTCACATATTGCCACATCAAGGGCCTCACTGGTTTTCTGCAAGGAGCCAGAGGGCAGATGTTAGTTTTCATTTATGTTTACAAGAGCACAAAAGTGAAAGAACACAAACTCATATTTGCTCTGTCTGTGAAKTTACCTTGACACAGAAAAAGAAACCACACCTCACCAATTATATAAAATACAGAAAACTCTCCCAAGGTCACTTAGATTCAGTCCTGAAAACAGTCATCACTCTGATTTCCCACCAACTTTCAGTCAGAAGACAGCAGCRGCTGTCAAAATCTTAACTATTCAAATAGCCCTTCTACAACTTATGATTCATTAACCTATAAAATTAACATAAGTCACACAGATAACAAATGTCCTTCTGCTTACACCTTGATCATCTCAATGTGATGAACTTACAAAACCAGGTTCAGTCTGCTTTTAATGGTTCATTCTAAATAAAAACAGAGCCCAGATTTGCTATGCTGCCCTTGTTTCCAGCAGACTAGAAAATCCTGTTACAAACCCTAGAGCTCACAGGGCTGTTCCCGGGGTTTCACRCACCTCTGGCCGACGGTGCTCATCGACATCCACGGAGCCGTCCAGAGGGGTCACAAAGTGGCACACGGGGTTCTTGCGCTTCTCCAGGTCTGAAACAGCAATGAAAATGTGAGTGCTGAGCACGTGCAGGGCCTGCAGAGCTCTGTCACWTCACTGGCAAGGTGAGTCTAGCCAGGATTCCTCCCTGATAACCRATGGCAAACAGGGTGAGCTCGGAGCATTCAGCAGACCCTCGGTGTGGGCACATCTAGAAAGGCCCAGATCCAACAGCATTGCCTCCCAYATATCAGGCTTTGAGCAGATTCCTGAGCTTTTCACTACACAGTAATTTCAATCCTCTGGCTCTCAGACCCGCCCCCAGCGCGGTACTTACACTGCATATACCAGGCCCTCCAGATGGCGTTATTGAGACGGATTTTATCTCTCCACTGAAGTTTCAATCCCTTAAAATTTTTCCATTTTGGTGAAACCAGCCTTCCACTGCAACAAAACAGAAAACAAATCATTCTGCTTCCACCTTTTCTCTCTCCCTTCCTCTCGAGACGAAGCATCCCCCCAAAAAAGAGTCAAACTGTCAACAGATAAAACATCAGCAAGCCACGCTTGGCCAGCCACAGCTTTTGCTGTCCATGGTTCACTGAGCCAGCAGCCAGAAGTGAATCCAGTCAAGACTCTGCTCTCATCCATGAGAACTAAAATCTATCCCAACTGGTCTCACAAATATCAGCAGGAATGAAATTAATTTCACCCACACTTTGCCAGTATCACACCTTTTCAAATCCCCACCTGTGAATAAACTTCCATCAATTGGGATTGAGATTACTCAAAATTAAGAGGCTTGTGCATGTTTGGTCAAATACAGTTGTGGTTTGGACTTTTTGAAGTCCATTTCTACAGTTCCATTTGATTTTCCAGGCTGGAAACACTGGAAAGGAAGAATGGGCCAATTCTGGCCCAAGAAAAAACCTAACCCACCAATTCYACACTTCTGGTAATCAGAGCTGGGCACAAAGGAACACCAGCAGGCTACAAAGAGTAACTTTTCTCCAAGGAAAGGCAAGGCTGGAAAAAGAAATGTCTAATGTATGAATGATCCTGGGAGGTGGAAGAGAAATGGAAGGAAAAAGGAAGAGGCAGCAGGACTCTAGTAAGCACTGTATAAACACRAAGTACCCAGCCCTTAAAACACACCTTTATGAATCATTAATCCATACTCTTGACAGRGCAGAGGAAGTAGGAAATACTCATAATAAACTAAATTTCAAGCCAGAGGTTAAATGTATAGGAATTGTGCCTATCCCAGGCTCTCCCTCGTGTTTTTAGGGGTTTTAGCTGACTGGGAGTGACAGCAAACCATATCAACTACTAGCAAGGAATAGAATAATAATAGTTAATATATTTGTGCTATTCTCTGTCACTGGGCTCTATGACCCTCAGTACAATCAAACTGTGAATGATCACAGACATTTAGGAAATCCTTCTGGATTATTTCTTTCCAGTCATGCATCCATATGCCACCGTTTGAAATACATCTCCCAAAATTCCACKTCTAAATTTCAAGACTCTTAGTTTATGGAAAGATCTCCAAATGAAGTATTTCCTCTCACTGTTACCCAGCTCATATACCAGTGCAGAGAGTGGATCTCCACCCACTTAATATTTCTCCCATCACTGCAAACTATCCCAGCACCCTCAGGGTTCACTGCACAGCCTGCTCTGCCACKGAACCACTGCACACCTTATCTTTCCTTCTAAACCCAGACTAAAGCGCCTCTTTTCCTGTTTCTCATCTGTACATTAACAGTTTGGAGACAGGAGATTAACGTGGTGATGCATCACCAGTGCTGACAAAGTRCCCACATGCCTTTGACTAAGAAATCTGTCAACTTAATGTTCATCTCTTCATAGCTCAGTGTGACTCGACAGTTTGCCAAAGCAACAAAACTCTAATAATCTGCACTCAGAATAACAAGAGCAAATGCTTTTCTATAAAAAGACTAAAAGGAACTGTAATCAAGTCTGGTACACTCCTTGCATCTTCAAAGAGCTAATTAAAACTGGAATTAAAACACAAATAGTTTAAAATATTTTCAATTACATTCTTAGAAAAAGCTAAACAAGACTAGTACATCAAAAGAAGGAAGTGATTAAAAACCTATTCTTAAAATAATTATTATTTTTAGTTCCCATGGGAGCAAAACACAAGTCCAGCTTGAGGTCATAAGTGAAACGACTTCAGCCTCAGTGGAGAAGAATCAGCATGAAGCTGACAACAATATTTAGATACTATTCCAAATTCCAAAGTCAATGGAAAGTCAATTACTTTGAACAACACTGTGACTGAGAGCAGCTGCATAACTGAAAGCAGTCTTCAGATTTTAAAGCAGCAAAACAGCAACAAGGAAAATACCCAAACAACTGGAGAGACCATCTGGCTGCTGCTCCTGCCAGTTCTGTAAGACCATGCCAACTCCTCCAGCAAGTGTGGAACAACTTCCCAACAGGTGGATGGATGGATGGATGGATGGATGGATGGATGGATGGATGGATGGATGGATGGATGGATGGATCAGGGATGGATGGATCAGGGATGGATGGATCAGGGATGGATGGATCAGGGATGGATGGATCAGGGATGGATGGATGGATGGTCACTGCAGCTGTAGCACAATAAAATAACCCCACATGGGTTTGGGTCCCTCTCCAAGAGCTGCTGCAGCTCTGCAGGGATGCTGCTTCCAAACAGGGGAGCAGGAGAACATCCCAAGGGAGAAYTGGACCAACAGTGCATGGTACAAGCCAGGACAGCTGCACCCACAGCGTGTGGGAATGCTGGTGCTGCACAGAGGGTGTCCAAGCACAAGAACTCAAGGAGTGCATCCTGCAGGGAACGCTGCTGCCTGAAGCTCAGCTCATGTAAACAGCGCTGGAGGAATAGGTGACTTTCATACTCTCYTCACTATCATACACAGATCAAATCAAAGCAGCTGAAAACCATCTGACGGGTAACTTGCAGTGCATTCCAGCAGCTCAGCTCAGYCTCCCATGTAGAAATCTCCACCTCCTGAGTCCAAATGTCCTCATCAAGTGATTTGATCACAGCAAACCAGCCAAAAGAGCTTCAGCTCAACAGCCAACAGAGCTGGAAATCYYCCTGSACAAAGTGGCCCAAACGTGCTTTGGAGGAGTCACAGGAAAGGCTGCAGGCACCTGAGCCTGCCACTTCCATTTGCTGCAATTTTCACCCACTAGTCCTGGACACACAAGAGAGGCTGGAGTCTATTCCCAAGGTTTTTAACATGCTTTTTCCCAGCTCAGGAACTACCTTAGGCAACTGAGATCCAAGCAGGCAGATAAAGCAGCACTTATCTGTCACAGTAACACAATTCTCAATTTCTAAAACTCCAGTGAAAGTAGCTGTGTTTTAAAACGATTACAAACCTTCAAACATCACAAAATTTGCAGTGAAATACAAAAAACAGACATCCACTGTGAGACTGTGACCTGATTCCCTTCAACACCTTTGATTTATAAATTTTTCTTCAATCACTTGAAATGTAATTAGGGAGAAGGTTTATATTCAAACAGTACACTGACAGTATCCATTTACATGCTAARTTTTGCTTCTGAGAATCTCATCATTTTGTTCCAGGTTAATACCACTCAGTAAATGATCTTGCAGGATATTTTAGGGACTCTTTTGACTCGGTAGAGACAAGGCAAAGGGGTGACCTTTCTTAACAGATCCAAGTGAGATGCCATTCACAGCTGCAAAATTTAAACCAGTAGCTCTCCCTAGCACTGAAACAACATTGAATTAATAAACTCAATGAGAAACTCCTTCCGACATCTGTAGAAGCACGACCAAGCTCTGTTATGAGATGAGATGACTCACAACAGAAGAATTCCTGCTCTCCTCCCTTARTCAGAGGATTTTAAGATGGACTTCAGTCAATATAAAACCACACAATATAAGCACCCTCCAGATTTGAGCAGAAAGTGACATTTATCTGTGTGCAAACCTAGATGCAATTTGGGGATCTTTCATTACTTATTAGTGTTAAGAAACACCAGCATTTCAGGAAACTGATTTCTACAAAGAGCACTGAAGGGACAGAGAAGCAGACTTTAAAATATTAAGATAAATTCCATATATTGTCCACTAAACAGGTGATTTGAATACATGTCAATTAAATGGGAACTATATGGTATAGCATGGCAGAACTTATGGGTTTTAGACAGTTCAAATGCTTTATTCAGCTGTTACTGATTCAACTTGCAGTTTCCCATTTTTTACCTCCCTCGGAAACATTCACAACAATACCACAGCCTTATGTTTAAATTCTTTTCTAATAGAAGGCAATAGGGAGGATTGTGCCATAAACACCAGCCTGGAAAATCCCYTTTTCCCATTCAGAAAAATTTCAGTTCATTCTCCACACCATTACGTGTGAAAGTTGCTGAGCTGGAATTTCAGCTGGGAAGTGATCTTGGGATTGCAGTGAACTAAATGCTGTACAAAGTAAGAAATTTTTAAAATACCCTGTAAGGATGGAATGCAGGATGTCCTGCTTAAAAAAAGTAAAGAGTGAATTACACGCCCATGACCACAAAGGGGGTGAGTGACAGCACTAGAAGTGGGACATGCAKTTTTTTGACATACCACTGTGCTTTGCACATAAACCCCTTGCTTCCATCCTCTCATCTTTCACTTGYTTTGATATGCAGGGACAAGGAAAATCTCTGGCTACATTTGGTTTCCCAACTCAGGAGGTATTATTTTTTCTCTTGCACTCAGAGAATACCTGGCCAAGATCTATTGTCTGTGGAATTTAAACACAAACCTCCAAGCGTTGTGGTTTAGATTCCACTGGCCTGTCCTGCTGCCCAAATATGTATCCCAGCAAAGCCAGCAGATAGGCTGGGAAGCAGCTACTCACATCTGGAGGACTCACTTCCCCTACAGACCCTGAAGTCTACTATGCTATGGCTGTAAACAGATTATTTTGTTTCCAAATCTGAATTTTGTCAATTCAGTTGATGGGAACAAGCTAGAGAAATGTCCTGTGTTTTCCTGTTTAGGTAACAGATTCTCACTGCCCTTGTGCTAAAACAACTCTTTTTTGCCTTATTAGCTTCAGCCTCAAAACCCACTTCCGCCGTGCCTCTCCCCAGTTCCTTCCTGTACATGGTCACGCAAATTTTTGAGGCAGGGTAAGAATTTTACTTCTATTACACATAATGGCAATGAGGCTCTTAATTTAAGTAAYAGGATAAAAATCTGATTTGATAGTACAGTAGCTAAAGAGATTAGCTTTTTCAGCAACACAGAATAGGAAGTTTCTGGCTTCTCCCCAGCATTTTTTTTTGAAGGCGTGGTTTTAGTTTGTTTTTTAATCTCCAATCTGTTTTTCTGGGGAATTGGGCCTGTCAGCTCAGCTCTCCAGGAGCCAAAACTAACAGTATTTCCCCAAACAAAG